GAGAATATTATTGGAGAATATCCTTCTACTATGAATCACTTGGAATACCAACTGTTTTGTAATATAATAGACATTGTCGAAAAGTAAGTAGTTTTATAAGTAATGAAGTTAAAAACAAAGAAATCAAAGTTACTTTCGTGATTTCGTTCGTGTTTTAATTAATTCCGTTATAATTTCAGATGTTCATGTTATACTTCATGTAATATTGAATTTGTAGATCCTTAGCTTATAAAATATAATATTAAATATACACAAGAACTTAGTACGAAAATTTTACTCACACCAAAAATATTCAAGTTAAAATTATACATAATCCTTGACTTTTAAGCCGTGCATAAATTTGTTCATAGAAATATAAATAACTAATATTTTTCGTCAGCCTTGTTGAGTCTATTCATTACCCAGTCTGTAAACACTAAACAGCCGACATTCGAAACAGCGACTTTCGCTTGTAGTCCACCGAGTTTGTTTTTTATATTGTATAATTTAATCGAATTGCATAACACGATTCCACGAAAACATTCACACATTTATTAATTTATATAACGAAGAGAAAAAACAAAGAAAGTATCGTGCGCTAGGAATTAATTAGTTCTTTGTTATATTATTATAAATAGTAGGTATCGTGGTCGTATGCTCGGTCGAAACTTTCAAATAACATGAATCGAGTCATCGGATCATTTAGAGGTCAAAGCGATGAGTCCAGTGAAAGTCACGCCTCCTTCGGTTAGTCCACGGCTGTGTGCTGTGTTGTGTTGCTTTAACATTTGTACACAGAGAACTAATTAATCATCATATATATTTAAAATAACACCAGTAACTAGACAGTATATGTCAATTAAATTGTTATCATAATTTTATCTGATCGTTTTCGTTTAAAAAAAAATAAAAAGGTGTAATAAAACGTACAAATACATATATGTATACATTATTATTATTATTAAGTACTCAGTTTTTAATGTATTTATTATAAAATTACTATCTAATATCCTATATATTACTTTTTGGTTCCTTTTCTTTTAATGTTGTATTTTTAGTGTAAAGGCCGTAAAGAGATTAAATAAGAAATTAAGAAATGAAGTCTGTAAGAAAGTAAGTCGTGATTTACATACCACGTAGTCAGTCACGACAATGCTCCACTTTCTTAATTACGAGCTATTACCATTACTTATATTAACAACAAATTAATGTAATGGCTGGCAATTGTTTAGCAATGCGTAGAGGCTCTATTGGTAAATGCTTATTTGAGTTGTTAAAGATAAAATATTCATGAGTTCCATAGTTGTAAACAATTATCAAATGGAATAATTTACTGTCACAGAATAATTAGAATATATATGTACAACAGGCTTTGTGTTTACAATTCAAATCTTTAAAATAGATATAATTTCAATATAAAATTATTTGATAAAACATTTTGTATAAAAGAAATAAAGGGAAAAGGATGTATGACGTATGTATTTTATTATTTAAACATAATTCTAGTTGAACTTCTTATTTCTGAAAACGAAATCATTAGTTTCGTTTTCGTCTTTTTGTTTAAAACCAAGAACCTTTATGAAAAATTAATTTTAATTTAAAAAATCCTTCATCCAAGTACAACTTATTTTTTTTTATCTACTTGCTTATAGTTAAATCAATTTGTTCATTCTTACTTTTCTCACGAAGCTTTCATGACAAAAACAATAAAGTAAAAGTTGAAACAATAAGAATATCCGGAGGCTGGGAGACTACCATTACATTCATCAGTCACTAACTGACACACACACATACAAAGAGCACACATACTCACACACACACATGCACATAATTTTGTTTCTTGCGATTAAATAAAACTCTCCCCGTTCCTCATTCATTAACACTATCATGCAGAAAGATTTATTATTAAAAAACTGTTTAATGAGAACTCGTTTAATAAACACAAAGCAGTGCGCTCATTCATTACAATATAATTGACGTATTGATTTCGTAATGTGATATTAAACGCATCGGAACATTCCGGCCAATGTCAAAACATTTACCCAAAATGAGTTTTGAAATTAGGTAACAGCGAGATTACTCTACGTAACATCATTGTTTCCGCTATCATTGTCCATGTACTGAGATTATAATGAGACATTCGAACAATGTGCTGTTGAAGTTTTTAATCGTAGATATACCTTTATTATTTATTCTTACGCAGGTGTAAATTAGTTTCTAGTATTACAAAACAGCAGAACAATAACGAATTATGTCTTTATGCTTATTTAATCCGTTAACTTATTGAACATTGTCCTAATTTTTCCATTCTATTCCCTACAACGTGTTTTTAAATTTTAATCACTCCAGTTTCAAATAGAAATAAAGGCAGTTGAATTCAAATCTAATTGAAGATATTCCATCAGGATACTAAGGTTAGTGAAAACTATCAAATATTTATTCTTCTTTCTACTACTAGTTTATAGATTTTTCGACTGTTATCATTTTAGTTACAGTTTTAGAAGTATATCTAAAATCAAACGATTCTGTTCTAAGATTATTTTAAAAAAGTATTGACATAAATATGGCAGCCTCGTAATTGGTTATGTGTAACTGATAGATCAATAAAATAAATGTTATACTACTTTTTTGGATTCCGGTCGGTTCATGGGAATCAGGTCATCATAATACTTACTTTTTGTGCCGAATTGCCCTTTTAAAACAATTAATTTAACTATTAGAAATGAAAGTTTAGATGATCAACACAATTAATAATTAATCAATTAAGATTATCTGTAACGAGACTTCGATTCAATTTCTTTGTAAGGAATCATTTTCTTGATATGATCATGTATCATGAATTGTTGAACCACTTAATTCCAGGTCAATTTAAAGCAGGTAATAATCAGGTAGTATTTAAGAGTATGTTGGAGTAGACGATAATTAGAGTAATTGTTTCATTACTTGGTGTTTTAACTGTAATCCTTATGCTCTCATCTATGACATCAGCAACGTAACTCTTTGAATATCTTTCTATACAGACAAGCAACAAATCTTACCTTATTACTCTTTTTTAACATATTATGTACTATAACAATAATTTTATATCCACTCGTCCAAATAAAATCGGATAAAAAGCTCAATATACCTAATAAATAATTTAAACGCCGTTGTAATATAAATAGGATTTATTGCTTGCAATACAATGGAAATCTAAAAAATATGAAAATTGTACAATGAAAAAGATTAACGTTATGGATATGACATAAAAACAACACAAAGAAAACAAAATATCAGTTTTAAAATGAAATAGTTTATTTCAAAGGTGTCCCGTTTAAGAACCTAACTTAGAATTCAATAAGTCCTTTTATTAATATGTCCTTATATATTAATTTATTTCATGACTTAGGTTAACCACTAGTTACCTTATCTAACTCCTAATAAAACTTCTTCCCTATTGCGTCTTGTTCTTTATTTACCTCGAACAGTTTGTGGCTTCATTTTATAACATACAATCATGAGGTTTTCCATAAAATGATTTTATTTAGAATACTATAGTCTATACATAAAGTAAGTATATATTATATTGTATAAGCGAATGACGTTTGGATTCAATAGAATGTATAAAAAAATATATAATGTATAGATTCAGAAAACTCAGTATGTTATTGTGGCGAGATAAAATATTTACATCATAAGATGCTTGAAGAGACTTCATATATTGACCTTAAGTACCCTTATCCGTAAAATCGTTAATTATTTTATTCATACCATAGTTTAACCTTCCTTTACAATGCCACAGGTCAAGAATAAATTTCATATTTCATATTACAATGTCTTTGCAATTGTCGATCGTAGTTTCAAACAACACTTAACAATTTTTGGATACATATTTTGTGTTTTTAATTATTTTATTAGTATAACTACATAATCCCAACGTTTCGTTTTTCTTACAAAAATCGTGATCACGGGCAAACAAAATGAAACATGAAATTTTAGATATTTTTACTTAAAATTCGGTTCAAAACACTTCAATAATGTTATTAATTTGACGATAAATGAATGAAAATATATGTTTTTTTTTCAATATAACAAAATGTGATGTGTAATATCCTATATCACGATTCTTCCGGTGTATAGACACAATAATACGAGTTAATTCAATAGCCATGGTGTATGATTGAACAAACATATCGGTCAAACTTATTGACCCGAAAAGAGCAAGCCAATTACACGCTTCGCTGATCATTAAGAATAATGCGAGAGAAATATATTTAATGAAATGAAGTACGAATAATAATAAAATATGGATATTGTGTTGCATTTATTATGGAAATATTCTTAAAAACTGGTAAAATAACTTATCTGTTTGTTGTACATTTCTTTCCTGTGTGTAACGTAATAACAGGCCTTGATTAAAAGTAACCATTAAGTAATAAACAATTTTCTGCAGTATTATATATAATCGTCAACACAAAAAATGTTTTCCCCCTCACTTTCCATACCTTCACGAGACAGCCTGCAGTCAAAATCATTTTTTTTTTTGTAAAAAAAATGCTCAAAAATTATATTATCTGTAAAAAAAAATTAATGACAATTGTAGGTATATAGTAGGTATTTCATTTGAAGTTTTCTGATTTTACTTACATAATTTACATATAAGTATGTAGTTTCGTTCTTTCTTAATTTAATTAAAACTTTAACAATTTAGCTAAGAGTGCAAAACATAAATTGGCTTCATTTATTCTATTTGTGTAATTTATTCTTTTCAAGTAAAATTTTAAGAAAAAGAAGAGAGAAATTTTAATTTGGTACGTAACAACTACAGAACTTTATAATTCCATTTACATGTTTACATTAACAATACATACCTACCCTATATAAGATTTACTTTGAGCCTGTCTCAGATTCTTCAGTAAACTAATAGTTTAAGAGAATGTAGATATAGAAGCACTTATTTTTCCCTTTAATATAGGTATTACATAATATAATATGTATGTTTTATTATTCATGCAGACTTCCGTGAATGCCGCGCCGTATGGATGGCGCCGCATATTTGGCGGTCGCTCGCCATTCTTCTGGCAACTACCACTCTTACCTTAGCTAAATGTAAGTTTATATTTTCCTATACAATTCATTGTAACACTAAAACCAATTACATAAGGTGAAAACTATTCTATATGGCCTCTATTTTATACTTCAATTAGAGATACCTACTGCCCTACAGCGAGACATCTCACAAAAACTTACGCCAGTCGTATACCCGGAGACTGAGAACGATTCAGGTTACCTGGAATTCACTGACTACGTTCTTCGCATTTTAATTCGAACCATTGCACTACTTACTTAGTTACAAGGCTTTAACATTAACCACATATATAGAAAATATTTAAAATGAAAAAGGTATAAAGATTTTTGGTAGTAAATGTTTTTTATGTTTCATGTAAATAGAGCACCTATATTGTTTTAAATAACTAACTTTTCTTTTGAGTACTTTTCTTATTGTAAAGCAGTGTTTTTCAATCTTTTTGATATCTTGACTCCTTTACGGGTTGAAAAATTTTGGCAACCCCTTGTTCCATACACAGGCAAGGAAATTCTTACATTAAAGACATATTAGAGTTAAACACATTTTCTGTAATGATGGACATCAAAACAAAGAGGAGAAATAAACTTCAATTACAAGTTGATTTGATAGATAATATTCCAGAAATAGCATCACGATTTGATATGCTTTTGAAAAATAAACAAGCCTATCCTTCTCATTAAAATTTGGTTTTTATTGTATTGTACAACTACCTTTTTTTTCTTTTCGAGGGTCGCAACCCACAGATTGAAAAACACTGCTCTAAAGCATACTTATATGTGAAAGGGTCTTAAGGACGGATTAAAAATGTCATGGCATATTTAGATGCAGAACTACAGTCATGGCGAGGCGCTGGCCGGCCAGTTTCCGAGCTCCAAGAGGCGGAAGACGAACGTCATGATGCAGAGCTCCTATCAGCTGTAAGGAACTCCATCAGACAATGGGAAATCAAGAGATCTAGGACCAGGTTAGTGTAATAACATTTCTATCTAAAGCTGTCTCGTATTATTGTTCATCTCGAGAACGTTATGTAATCTATTGCTTAATATTTGTGCGTGCAATAACAAGTAACAATTTAAATGAAATTATCATCTACAACGTAAACATGACAATTTCTAAACGTATACGGTAATTGCAAAACAGACTTCTATACCTTACAACTGGTTTAAGCCGCTACCATACCCACAATACCCGCCATATACAAGTATCTTACTTCCGGCGAAACACGGACATAACATTCCGTTTCATAATACATATGTATATATCTATATGTCAGTATGTTCATAGTCTTGACATAACAAATTCCTCGGATATTCCCCTTATTATCCAACCTTCAAAACAGTATTTACATAAATAAAGCCTTATCTATGTAAATATCATTCATTGTTGCGAATTTATTAAAACAAAACACGCCGAACACAGTCTCTCAGATGTCTCAAAGATTGAAAACTATAGAAATAACGCTATAATTAAATTTCAGACATAAAAACCGTGTTTAAGCAATAAAGCCCGTGTCTATCAAAACTTTCTCCACCGTTCAACTGACTGTACCCACTTTCTATTGTGCAAATTTATTTACTGCAATGAGGCGCGATATCGGTATCCGTAGACTGGAGGTAAACAAACACTCATACGTTTCATATTAATTACTATAGATATGTAGATATACTATGATCTTCTGAAACGTGTTTGTAATTAAGTTCCCTTGACGATGTTTGAATATTATATCTGAGATATTAATTTAAAGTGTTAAACTTCATATAGTGTAAAGCCATAGCTTATAAAAATAAAACATATACATAAATATTATACCCTTCCCTATAATACCCTACAATACTAGTATTTTATATGAAGACACATAAAACAAATGACAGAAGGCACTGCCGATTGGTTTCCTTAGTTATTTTTATAACAACAAAATTTTAGTTTCTGTAAGTACATAATTTTGAAATTCTACGCCCGAAGTCGTTCTCATGAGTTTGTTAAATATAAAGTTATATTCAATAATATAAAATAACTTTCATAAATAAAGCCCTTAACTGCTTAATAAATAATGTTTATATACAAAATACTTTCACTTATTAGCGAATGCATATTATATAATTATTATAATTTTATAAAAGAAACTCGTTTCATTAAATACAAACGTGTTAGCAATAACCTACACATTGTAACTTCCAGCTTATTTTACCATACTTTCCTGACCTTCTGTAATACGAATTCATATTCAAAATATAATTGTTTCGGAGATATGCAGACGTACCTATATTAAATATTTTAAAATTTATAAGGGAGTTTTATAAGTATCATTTAGTGTCTTCCAAAACGTTATTTCTTATTTTTTATACTTTCGCCATATATTAATATCTACTTCTATGGAAGCTTTCATGATTATAAAAATGTAATTGTACGCTTAATCTTTGGGTTATTCTCAGAATAAAACGATCTCAAGGCAGTGTGTGTTATGGCGATTTCGGTTGCTTCGAAGATGCGGGTCCTTTTGCCTATTTAGAAACATTGCCCAGTCCACCACAGGAAGTTGGCACACACTTTCTGTTGTACTCTACAGTAAGCAGGTAAGTGATCCTGATAACTTCATTATAATTATTTTATTAAGTTTAAACCTTTGTTACGATTAGAATCTTTTAAAACTAGTAGGCATATGCAATTCAATACGATTCATTGTCTGAAGGAAGCAATTTAAATCGTTATTTAAATTTGTTTCTCGATGAAGTCACTCTAGATTCTAGAAGTTATCTTTTGGATTATGAACAGTAAATTGGGAGCAAGGACTTTACTATTAAACCATTTTATCATGCTGTAAATTATATAATTTTGTTTAGGCAGAACATTTGACATTCCAAGGAATTTAGTACAAAAGGTGTCAATAAGATTTAGTTGAATCTATTTTATAAGTATTTAGAGTAATATTAATTACCCTTTAGAGGAGATCAGCCGTTAATAGCTGTGTCAGCTAGCAACATGTCTGCGGCCTGGAACTGGGCAGCGCGAGCGTTTGATACATCACGACCCACGCGCGTCATTGTTCACGGATTTGGGTCCAATTGCGACAACGTATGGGTGTACGAGATGAGATCTGCTTTGATGGCTGTTGTAAGTTCTAAGAACAGTTTTTCATACACAATAGTTGCTTGACCTTTCCAAAAGACATTATCATCATTATTTGCAAAGAATCACTAAAGTAAGGACAATAAACCCCGTCACTCCGTTCAAAATTACTGTTTTAACAAATATTTTATCGCTTTTAAGGAGGAGTGCAATGTTATTTGCGTCGATTGGGAGGGAGGTGCGTCTATGCCAAACTACCTTAGAGCGGCAGCAAATACTCGTCTGGTCGGTAAACAACTAGCAATGTTATTACAAGGTTTGTAATTATTAATTGGTCAGTCAATCTTCGATAAAATTTTCTCTACATAAAGAAATATTAAAATTTACAGGTTTGGCTCAACACATAGATTTACGATTTGAAGATATCCATCTTATAGGATTCAGTTTGGGAGCTCACGTGGCCGGTTTCGCTGGATCGGAACTAAAAAATATCAGTCGGATTACAGGTATATTTTACATACTACGCACAAAATAAATAAACATAAATATTATTAAAAATATGAATGAAGCGATAAGTAACTGCTAGTGCAGAAAAAAAGCAAATAACTTCATAAACGTTTCAGGCCTTGACCCTGCCGGACCTTTGTTCGAGTTTCAAGACCCTCGCGCTCGTTTGGACCAATCCGACGCAAAATTTGTGGACGTTATACACTCCAACGGCGAGACCTTGATCCTAGGCGGGTTGGGAGCTGCGCAGCCTTTAGGGCACGTGGACTTTTACCCCAACGGTGGACGAGTACAACATGGATGTTCTAATTTGTAAGATATCAATACTTTGTTTGCCGACAAACGAAAAACTATGATTTATGCTCGAATTCCTTAGCGAATCTAACATTGAACCAAGACGAAGGGAGAAATCAATAAGTCTTAATGGGTAAGTCAGGGACCGTCCTGAGGAGTCTCAGATATCCCTGGTAATACCATGTGAAGTCGAAAAAAATGATGAATCGTTTGCCGACTTAAAAAAATGGGTTGAATACACAATAATACATCTAGTACTTCTGAATCGTAATTAAAAAAATCTGTCATAACAAAATTAATACATAGCTTATGCTCAGATGGAGAACCTTTTCTTTAAATCATTTAAACAGATTTAATATATTTGATTATATTGCTTATATTTCTTTATAGTAATGGTTTATCACCGAATAATATTACAGATTCGTGGGAGCAGTCTCTGATTTGGTGTTACCGTGGGCGAGTGCATCCGTCGAGGGCAGATCGTTGTGCAATCATCGCCGCGCTTATAAATTCTTCACGGATTCCGTTTCTCCGAAATGCCATTTCCCTGCTTTCCCCTGTTCTGATTATGATACATTTATGGAGGTAACTAAAACAGCTTTGAAACACCCATTTGATACATTATTTTATGTGTTGAACCTCGCAGTTTATTCACATAATATCTGCCGCTTCGAAACAAAAAGTGAAAAGCCTTTATCAATTTTTCCTTTTACTACGCTTTTGATTTGATATTCTATAATAATATAGTTAATTAATTAACTTTTTGTATTTAATATATACTACTTACATACATCCTACGTCTTTGACATTAATTTTACATTTAGTTTTACTCTTTTTTTAGGGTCGATGTTTTCCTTGTGATAGCGATCGACGTTGTGGAAACATGGGTTATTATGCAGACAGATCTCTTGGGAGAGGACAGTTGTACCTTCTCACTAGAGAAGAGGAGCCATTTTGCGGTATATCTAGTTAAAATTTTTATACATGACTTACAAAGGACATGTTCAAAATGTTCTCAAATATTTACAGCACATCAATACCACGTCACGTTATGGGGTGGAAGCGAAATCGGAGAAAAACCCAACTTCGGTCGGATCACACTCACCTTGCATGGAGATTCGGGCCTAAACGAGTCTTTTCCCATGACGAAGTAAGTCATAAAAAATATTAACTGAACTAAATTCCAAAAAAAGTTAAGTTAAAGTTAATAACTGTTATACGCTTTTAATTAATTAATGTTACTTGTCTTGTGCGTTAGGCGTTCCATCAAGTCTGAAGGGAGTGGTGTTCAGTTCGGACGAGTGTTGGTGCCACACCCTGCTCTAGGAGTACCGTTACGAGCTTCGTTACATTATGCGGCCTACAATGGCTGGCTCAGCGCCGCTGCAAAAGCTCTCAGACTACACAAGCTACTAATCACAGACAGCTTTGGAAAAACGTTAGTATACGCATCATATTTACATACATAAAGAATTTAAAAAATATATCTATTATGGCCAAAGTCATAATTAGTGATGATTTACTAAAAAAAAAACAATTACTTGTTTCGCAGTTCATCCTTTTGCAAAAACCTGCGGTTATCATCTGATGAAACAGTACAAATGCCGCTGTATCCGGGAGATTGCCAAATTCAGGTATAGACTTGATTTATTACCATCAGTGTATTATTATTCTTCCAATTCCGTTTCATGTAAAATTCCTCTTTTTTTAAATTTAGTTGGAAAATACAACACTTGCCGCAAACGATCAAGAAAATTCCACAAATACAGCCGTTGTTGATCCACATGATAATGAACTTCCCGAAGATACACCACAAAGAACATATTTGATTGGCGACGCTTATGATTGGGAAGAAACTGCAGAAACTGGAAGAGCTTTTGGTATGACCAATACAAAAACGGCTCCAAGTGGGCTCATTGAAATAGCTGAGCCTGTACTCAGACCGCGACCTCGAAAGACTGCAAGACAGAGAGCCGATAATATTCAAGAAATATCAGAACCAATACTACGCGCAACACATCCACCCCGACCTACCACACAACTACCGTCGCGGAAACCCAAAAACTATGATATATCAACGACACCTGCAAATGATATCACATGGGATGCAAAAACGGATAAAGAAGAAACCAGTTTCGCCGTACAATTCCTACCAGCACGATTAGCTTCATTCATTTCCAGAGCCGAACGTTATGCTCGAGATACGCTTTTGCCGTTAGTTTCAGCATATGCACCCCGCCTTCCTTTATTTGGCTCACGAGAAGTTCCAAAGACAACAGCGAGGTTTATTCCAACAGACGACGTCAATGTAACTAGTTCAGTGCCTGTCCCTACGCCGACATTAGAAATGAAAATAGAAACACTCCGTTCTATGGGTCCTCCCGGTGAGAGACGTGAAGTCGAGACCCCTGAAGACCCTGACATACCTGTCGTTATATCTACAACCACATCAACGACGACCAAGCCGACCACGACCACAGGTGTGCCGATAGTAGCGGCACCATCTGAAGCGTTAAAAGTTGTACAAGGACCGCAAGCTTCGACTAGTACTGCTCTACCACCTGTGGCTTTACGAAGCGAGGGCAAGAAAATAGTCATCGTCTATCCCAGTAACGCAAGAGATGAAAGAAAAATTAAATCCCATTCGTTCCCTGAGGAAATGCAGTTCGAGGCGCTGTACAGACATACGGAGGAACCTTCAGTGCTTAGAGTGGACCTACCGACCTTCACTCCGCCTACTTCCACTGATATCAACGGAGCTCTAACAACTACTGTCAAAAGTATCCATCTTTCACAAGGTCCTAACATTGTGCAAGAAAACAACAAGCACAAAGACGACTGAAAACGAATCATATCCACATTTGTTTGATGTAAAATGTTAAGTTTCATAATACACATAGCTTTCCTTAATTTCATGTTTCAAAATCTTGTTATTTAAGAATCACTAACTATAAAACTTTTCCTATGAAAGTGAGCAACGTCTTTTAAATCTCCTGTATTTGTGTACATACATATTTAGTTTTTAAGTGTAGAATAAGAAACATCTCATTTTTAATAAAATGTTATTTATTAAACAAATTTATTTGTGTTCTTATACAATATTCCTCGGGAATACTTTTTAAATATAAAACTAAATGTTGACAGAAAACTAAACCGATTTCTATATCACTAAACAAAAAATCTATCATAAACACAAACACGTGGCAAATGTTTCGAAGTGCATTGTGATTATTAACTTAAATCAAATAAACCAATAATTCTAAATTCTAACAATTACTTAAAGAAATGTTGCTGTTTCAAAACATGCACACAAAATAATCCCATGAAGGGCAAATTCATTCATACTGCAGCTTCTTAGGTAAATTTTTCCGTATCTGTTTATAAAATGGAATAAATTACTGGACATCACATTGGTTTATTGCTCTACGTCAAAATGTTAGTAAATATCACATATAGATTTGACAATTCAACCGTCATAACATTTCTTGACAAATAATATTCATGATTATAATGATAACAAATCTGTTTAGGTTTGAGAAGAAAAATAAACAGTTCCTCTGAAAAGTAAAATGTATATCAACTACATACAAGTAGTTTTATGTATTAGGAAAATTAAAAGTAAAATTAGATTACAAGAATTTTGATAACAGATTTCAAATGTAATATAATATTCCTCATTCTAACATACTTCTCACTATACAGATCCTTCTTTACTATATAAGCATATGCAACACAAATCCATAAGTAACTTTTAGGATCATTTGGAATTTGGACTGCTGTATGTATAAAGAATATATTTATATATATTTATTGGTCTATAAAATATACATTGGAAAATGGGTGGGTTACGAATTATTATCTATTTCGTCAACAGATCTGGTATAAACAGAAGTTATCTGGTATAAACAGATTACAATGCTTTGTTACTTCATATATTTGTCCGAGTGTTGTGTGAGGATGCGTGCGGAAGACTTGGCGTCGAGGAACAGAGCGTGCACTGAACGGACGTGGGAAGGTGCGATACGAGTGGCGCCCTCTGCACGGGCCGCCAGCCATGAAGGAGTCAGTAGTTGGGCAGCATACCTGAAAAATATATATCAACTATCAATAACATACTTCTTTGTTACATACTTCGTTGTCTGGCAGAAATCGCTAATTAGCGATAAGACCGCCTTTTTGTACATTTCAATTTTTTTTTCTGTGTCAAATTTACTGTTTGTGGTGTACAATAAAGTATATTCTATCTATACTTCCTTTGTTTCTAATGTAGACCATCAAAATAAATTTGATTATATATTATTGACCTAATCTTCAGCATAAGTACATTTATAAATTATATGTATATAAAAATATGGTAATTATATGGTATGTGAGAAACATGGAAATTGTTAAACGAAACTTTTTTAAATTACTGTAAGGATTTCTATTCATTGTTTAATATTATATTTTTAGAAATGTGTTCAGTTTTGTATTTCGTCAAGCCAGTTTACACTAAGCTAGTTTTCTGACACCCCAGATAGAAAACAATATTTCAATTCTAACTCTAATTCAATAACTTTAACCAGACAACGAGAGCTATCTTAAAATCTCAAGATCAACACCAGGTCCAAAAAATATTTTATTTACCTATACAGTTGTTTTTGATCACAAAAAAGATAAGATAGCTATCAGTTATCACAGTAGCTATTACCATTGAGGAGAAATTAGTCTGTTAAATTGATATTTCAATTATTTTAAAACTAAACCAACCTGAGAGTGCTGTTGGCACCAACTTCGGAGAGAGCTGTCAAAGCCTCGTCATCTATAGATATACCCTCAGTATTAGCACGAAGCTTTAATATCTGGAGAAAATCACATGGATTTAACTTATGATAAAAACACAAAAATATATATAAAAGATATATATACCTGTAAAAGTTCAGATTTATTGTATGGAAGAGTGCGGATAATCAACAGTCTATCTAAAAGATCCAATGGAATACCGTGTGGAGAGATAACATCTTCAGTTCCTCTGCAAAATAAAAATTACAACTCATAAATCCAAGTTTATAAGAGCACAAACAGACAGTAATTTGTTAACATTGTATACAAACCTTATTTGACAACGACCTCTGTTGGTTGCAAATATAACTATGGGAGCGATTGCTGATTCTAAGGCACGGTGAAGGTAGGTAAATGTTTCTATATCTAGCATATGAACCTTAAAAAGATATTGAAATAAATTAAAACAAGTTAATACTTATATTCTAATAATATGACACTAAATCAAGAAAGTCAATATGCATATCTTCAAACTCCAAGCCATATGGATAGTCAAAGTTGAAAATTTTATATAAATTAATCAATAAATTAATATTATAATTTATACATATATAAACAAATTTTTTTCTAATTTTCAGCAAATACCTATATGAGAATAGAAATCAAACCTTACGAAACTTTTGAATGTACATTTATTTTAATCTTGAAATATAAAATGCAAATGTTACCTCATCTATAAATAAAACCCCAGGCACTAATTCTGCTATACCTTGGTCAATATATTTATTTACTACTTTGTTTATTTCTTTCCTAAGCTTATCTGTAAAAAAAAAATATAAAAATATTAATTAAAAGTCTACAAAATTATATATTTTTTTATAATGTTTCAGAAATTGTTTAAGGATGTGTGACAAAAGAAGTTTTACAGTGTCATTTGAGACATTCATATAATCCAATTGAAATAGATGTAAAATTAGACAATATTACTATTGATAATGATATATAAGTAATTCATTATAGACTTTTAACAAAATATTCAATATATGTATATTACAAGTGTACCAGTAATTTCAGTTTTCTTGGGCTTCATCAGTTGTCCCATCATAGACATAATATCATGGCCTCCCTGTGGCCTAGCATTAGCACAATCTAAATCATGAAGAGTTACATCTTGGACAACTTCCTTCTTTTTATGAACATCACCTTTTGGTAAGGGAACATACTCTTCAGCCTGAAAAAATTGAAAAAAAGGGTCACATAATTTTCTATTCTTATTACGAAATGTTGTAATAAATCAGGAAAATATTTGAATATTGATAGAATAATCTTATTATGAAACAAACCTCTAGATCAAATTCAGTAGCAAAAGTATCACTTCTTCCCTGTCTTTTCACTGCTCCGGAATTCGCCTCTATATAAATAACATCCCCAACTTCAACCTTTTCCTTTTGCAGTGATTCATATATTGTAGGGTCAAGCTTCAAGTTTTTTGTACCTTTTGCTGTCTTAAGACCAATTATCACATGGGAAACAGTTTTGCCATAGCCTAAAATAAACAATTTTATTGATATGTATGTAAAAAAAATGGCTTATTAAACCTTATGAAGATTTATTTACCGCCAGCAGGATTTTCAGTCTCTACCGGAGTCAGTTCAGTAACTTCTCCTTCATATACTTCTTTTGTTTCTCTGATTCGTAGACCAATAGCTCTACGGAAGTTTTCCATTAATACTTCTGTCTTTTTAATCTCAGTACTATATACTTCACTCCCTACCATCGGACAAAATGGTACCTACAATAAAATTATAAACATTCGTAATTGAAATTGCATCATAATTATAGTGAGTTTCAATATTGAAATAAGACTATTAATTTTTCTTACTTTGTTACCAAGTTCCTGTGCTATGGCTAGGGCAATTGCTGTTTTACCAGTTCCAGGGGGTCCAGCTAGTAATAATGCACGTCCCGCCATTTTCTTGCTTCTTATCATATCCACTACTATCCCTGCAGCCTAAATAAAATCAAAATTAATTACTCAAGTAATAGTTCATAATATTGTAAAAAACCCATTATAAATTTTGTTCTGTTAATTTGTAGTATAAGTCAGTTTTGTTATTAATTATCTACCCTTAAATACAATGAGAATAATCATTAAAGATACCATGGTAACGACATAAACTAACCTTAAAGTTTGATCAATAACAAGCGTTTATCATTTTAAAAAGTTAACAAATTATAGTAATAGAATGATTTGATTTCTATAAATCAATTGATTAGTAACAAAATACATTGTATATACATATTATATTACCTCTCGCGCTGATTCTTGGCCCACGAGACCGGCTGCCATTTGAATCGGTACTCCATTTTCATCTAGACCTAGACCTTTTATATGAGTGTGTGCAGATATTCTTTGCGTTTTCGCAGTGCTTTTAACTTCTTCAATTTTCATTGTAATGACTTTATTTTAACTTATACGCAAAATAATGAACAATTGACTGTTTTATGTTATTCAAATGACAAACAACTCGCATTTGCTACTGAACGTCAAACTTTTACCACAGAGTACCAACTAAAAAAGAAATTATAAATGGGATAATGGAGGCTACAAAAAAAAGGTCAATAAATTTGAATACATTTAATAAAAATAACTTACCTTTATATATATTAAGCTTATAGAATCAAGTATATGAGATTGCAAGGTTAATTGTATTTTCTGCACTCAGGAGAGTAATTGATTGACATTAGCTATACATTAAAATATTATTGGATTACATGTTTACTTAATCCCTAATGAGACATAAATAACTAAGAAAATATATTCAGTATATATGAATTATCTCTCAGAAATTGATAGTTATCTACTTAATTTTGACGGATATTGCAAATTTTTATGGGAACCTACCTACTGAACTTTCATTGACGTTAATGATTACTAAAATCTGACAGATCGCAAACACATTTAAGGTGCTAAGTCAAATTTGCGGATTCCGCATATTATTTCTTTTTCTGTGATATTTTCTGTATTAACTTATAATGAAATATCTGTAGGATATTCTAGAAGACCGGTCACTTGTATAAATACCGATAATGCGCTAAGTTTTATTTTGGATAACATCACAAATGGAGTATACAGCTCACAATTTGGAATATGCAGTGACTGTATTTTATAATGGAAACGATGAAGATAGATCTAAAGCCCATACTTGGCTCTCAGCAGCCCAACGAGTTCCTGAAGCCTGGAACTTTGTTTGGGAGCTACTCCAGTCCAACAAGGTAATTATTATTAAATATTTTTAACATCTAAAATGTTTATCTACTTAGATAGATTTAAAGTGTCCTGAAAAAGCAATTTTCTTAATATTCAATTTTTAAACTTAAAATTTTTCCTTATTTGAAACATGTTTAGGGTACGGAAGTACAATTTTATGCTGCCACCACACTACATACAAAAATTCTTCGATGTTGGAATGAAGTGCCAGAAGAAAGTTACACTGAACTGAAAGAAAAGCTATTACAAGCTATGATGGCTTATTCTAATGGTCCAAAAATAGTTACCAACAGATTATGTATAAGTGTGAGTAAATACTTATATTTATTGAATAAAGTTACAGTATCATGGTAAAAATCAATACATATTTTTTTATATTCCAGCTAGCAGCTTTTATCCTACAACAAGGCTCTACAGACATAGCAGATATATTGAGGCCTTTGTCAACAACTGCCACAACTTCATTACTTCTTGAAGTACTCACTGTGATACCAGAAGAAGTAAGCTTATACAGGGTGACTGGTGAATTACTATCGATACTTGAGAACGTGATATTTGAAGATCATATATGACAAAATAAAAATTAATATAACATAAATATTAATAAACTTCTAAGTAAAGTTAACCAAAAGTGATGTAATTAATTACGCATCGTGTGAACACCCCATAGATTAGGTATACACACACATACACACACACAGACACAGACACACACACAGACACACACACGCGTGCCGCGGCGTGGTGTTGTATCAGCACGCGTCCACACTTGGAACGTGTCCACACTTTATTTATTTATACGGAAATTTGGTCAAAAATTAAGTACCTATTTTTTTTACATAATTCGAATGAGAATCATGTACCGAGTATTCTCCTTAAATATTGATAGTAATTCACCAGTCACTCTGTATAATAAATGTTTAATGTTAAATATTCAGTATAATATATTTCTTTTTATTCTCAGTTTAATAGTATGACTATGGGAACTGCTCTTCGTGCTAGAAACAGAGCTGCTTTGAATCAGGCTTGCAGTATGGTTCTCGATGATATGCTGAGATATTTACAAGATGTCTTCAAGTAAGAATCAGTTGAATTTTATATTAATACCAATTGATGTCTCTTAGTTGTATTTTAAAGAAGAATTTTATGATCCAGCGACTACAGTAATGCCCCTCCAAGTGAAGCTTCCATTCAACTGTGGACATCGGCTGCATCATGTGCCAGTAATTGGCTGGCGCTTAGTGAGGATACATTAGACAGTACAACCACTCTACCAGAGCGCGCTCCGCTGTGCCGCGCCTTATATACCGCTGTGCGATTGCTTTGCACGTATGTAACTTTTCCTACTGATGTTATGAACGCGACAGTTAATATTTTATATATGGTTATGCATTTTTTGCTCTTTCACCCAAAAAGTACTGAATTAACTATTTGATAAGTTTAATATAAAGTAGTTCTCGCAATGAAATAACATATGACTTTTTATTGCGGGAATATACAATTACAGTGTCAACACATTTTAATAAAATCTATATATTTATCAGATTTTATCAGGTTCTCAGGAAATTCTACATTAATCTAAATACATACTTGTGTACATACAAATAAATATATGATTAAAACGCTTGTTTCGTAATACTAAAATAATCACTCTTAGTGTATTGTATATGGGTGTAAAACTTTTATATATGTATACTGAAATATGTATATATTTTTAAAATTTTTGCCTATCCCTCTATTGACTATTCCGTTCCGTGTCTTTGACTTTGACTAGATGATAGCTGTTGTAATAGGGATTAAGTTAAACCAAATTTGTTATTCTTTATATTTCTTCATGTTTTTAAGAAGTCGCGGGAACAGCTACTGTTATAAAAATTGTTTATGTCGTTAATTAGTTGGAACGAGGCTGTGAGTGGTAGTGCTTTAGAAGCGTGCGAGGCGTTCTTATCAACTCTGCGAGCGGCGGGGACGGCCGGCGGGGCCGCGCGTCACCCGGCCTCCGCGCGGTCACTACTCACTGACCTCGCCACACTCGCTGAACCTCTCCTCGCAGCTCACAACCAGCCCAATTCAATGAATGAGGTTTATATACACTATACTATATGTAGTATATAGGCTAGTTTAAAGACTTATTAAGACGCATAGCACACGGCGTATTTTAAACGCGCAGACGACGCGCGTTCCAGGATCTCCCTGTGTGCTTACTTGCTTAGGTTATAGGGTTGCGTTGAGTCTGCGCGTTTAAAATACGCCGTATGCTATGGGCCTAAGGTGGCCATACTCATGTGGGACAAAGATGCAGAATAAAAAATTGCTTGTTTGTAAAGTAGGTTTACGATCGAGATGTTTACGTGATAACGTCTTATTGGTGATATAAGTTTTTGGGAAGTAAGGAAACACTTCACTTTACATTTTGTTTCACTGTTAAACATTCAACGAAAACTTAACCGCACGAGAAAATCTCCATTCGTTTGTATGCCGCTAGAGTGAGAGAGACGGAAGATCGGTCCACTCACTCGAACGCTATGAGTGCCTCCGCTCGTGAGGATTCCGCGTGACAAGTTTCACTGAATGACTGGCAGCGCTCGAGATGAGACGGGAGATCGGTCCGTCTCTCTCTCTCGTTATACCTGCGATCGCGCTCGTGAGGTTTTGGTGTGACACAAGTTTCTAAACATATCACCCGACTAAAACGATTTTAAAGACGTTATCATGTCAAAAACATGTATGATTTTATGTATTGCTAAAAAATTTTTTTACTATAACTTGATAGTTTTTTTGTTATTCGAAAAATATGTCTGTTTCTCTCTAAATACAGACCTTGGTAAATATTTATTTTGTGCTTTTCATTTATATATTAACAGTAAATAAACTGAGTTTGCTGAAAGTCGCCTTATATAAAAAAATTGCTTTAACTTTTTTACAAAATAACTTCTATACATCACTAGTTCTTGAGCTTATGCTTGTCACCTAATGTGAGCGGGTTGACGAACGAGGTATACACATATCAACATATCTCTCTCAACTGTTACAAAATATGATTATTCTAGCCACTTTATTTTATTCATACACAAGATATAAATGTTCTAAGGTGAGCCCAACAATACCACGACAAATCAAGAAATATTTACAATGTTATAATTTTTTTAAAGAAAAAAAGTGAATCGAGCAGTGTGGGACACATACGTGATATGACAAATAAATATAAGTATAGGTATAGTGTTCATTCAATATTCTTAAATGTATTTTCTGTTTACTCATCATGCTTAGTTATTAAGACAGATTTTAACTTCCTTAATTAGAGATTTGTTAGTCATAAAAATCTTAAAATATCTTGAGTGTATTAAATTACTGACAAGTAAATCTCGTCCTACCCATCACACCCTCACATAGCGTAAAAGTTATTAACATTAGCGCGACGATTCTCATATACTTTACTAGCTTTCCGCCCGCAGCTTCGCCCGCGTGGATTTCGGTTATATCGCGTTTCCAAAAGAACCTTTCAAAAGTCTGGAATAAAAACTATCCTATGTTCTTTCTCAAGGTCAACTCTATCTCTATATCAAATTTCATTAAAATCGGTTCAGTGGTTTAGGCGAGAAAGCGTAACAGATAGACAGACAGACAGAGTTACTTTCGCATTTATAATATTAGTAGGGATTAGTAGGGATAAAAGGATATCTATAACCAGGAATAAGTATCGACAAATAAGAGCTACCTTCCAAACTGTTCTTTAAACCTCAGGAGTTGTTGGCGGCTTTGATTATATGCTGCGTTGCGGTCGCCGAGTGTCACGCTCGGGTGTTAGTTGAGGCTGTGGAGGAGGGGAGGGAGGGGAAGGAGGAGGAGGGCGGCGCGGGGGACGGGGGAGGTGCCAGGAGAATACTACAAGTGTTACTAGCGGCACAGGCTGCACCCGGACACTACCCGCTACACGAGACACGCTCCAACCTAGTGTTCGGACTATGGTATACGTTACAAGTGAGCTTTGAACTAATAAAAACTATATAATAATATTTATTATACAATTATTTGTTGAAATTGAACCGAATTTAACAAAATTATTGTTACTTTACAGGATCAGATACTTAATATGTCTGATAGTACGAACAAAGTGAGCCCGGTGTGGTACGAGGTGTTCACTCAACTGCTCATTACTCTCATAAAGAAGTCGGAGATGCCGCCGGAGTCCATGCTGTCCAGAGATGAACAGGAACTACTGCGATGTTACAGGCAGGACATCGCGGATATTGTGGTCAGAATTATTATATATGTAGAATAACTAGCTCCTATATGTATATTCGGCTCACTACGGGTTCTTTACAGAAAAAAATCCTACGTCACTTAGAGAACATGTTATTTAATTTTTGAGTTTATCGCGAAAAGATATTCAGATGCAGCGGGGGACGTTGTTTGCGAATAAATAGTTATGTTTATTTTTTGTAACCAAACTACATAGATATTAAAAACCTAAAGCTACGAAATATGCTACATGTAGGTATAATATTAAATTTGATTTCACTCGATCTTTTATCAAGTTAAATTTTTTTCAGTCTCAACAATACTTCACATGATATATATCTATTGAAAACTTCTTCACATTAACTATCACTCTTAGTAAACAAAAACATCTGTCTTTTCAGATGTACTGCTACAGTATCCTCGGTGAGAACTGTTGGTCGTTGGTAGAGAGCGCCTTCACAGGTGCGGAGAGTGCTCGTCAGCGAGAGGCAGCGCTGCATGTGTTCGCTGCACTAGCGGACGCAGCTCCGGCCGGGCGAGCACCTACAGCGCTTCCAGCGCTGCTGCAGCACGCACTTCGACTCGCAGCTGACCCGACTAATAACGATACACGGCTCCTACACACAGCGCTAGATTGTCTCGGTAATATTCACTGACTAAATAAGATAAATTACTACATTTCACATGCATTTGACTAAATTTCTTCTCATATAAAGTAGTTGCCACTAAAATGATTGTAACATTTAATATCAATCCCACGCTTTTTACTCTGAATTAAAATCATCAATTTAAGCTATTAAAGTGTTTTTTTAGTTTTTTTTTTACTTTTATTTATTTTTTATATAGCAGTCAAAAGATTGAAGTTTATAGTAAGACACCATCCATTCTTCTTATAGGTTTCTACGCTTCCTGGCTCAGTTCTATGGAGGGACCGCAGGGCACGGAGCTAGGTCGTGAGTGTATGCGAGCCGCCGGTGCAGCGCTGCAGCGCTGTCCAGCGCCCGCTGCTCTCGCCCTCCGCAAGCTATGCTTAGACTGTGCAGCGCCTGCAGCTGAACTCGTCGCTGATATTGTACAACTGGCGCAAGTCAGTTCATTGCAATGTTGTTAATGTAATATGCGAAGCTCGAGAAGTATAGTCAAATACACTACACAATATAATAGAGTATTCAGGGGCAAAAATATGTCTGACATCATTTTAAGAGAGCTGTAACTTACACAGCTGGACGGATTTTTACCAAACATAGCTATGAATTAACACAAATAGTGAGAGTCAAATTAAAAAAACGGGGTCGAAATAAGTCGATCTGTTTGAATACAGATACACACTCATATCAACGTCACGTGTCATATGTTGTGTCGGTATTAAAAAAAGAAAACTAAAATGATATTTTTAAATACAAGACAGTCCATAGATTAACTAATAAATAAATTGCATTAAGATAATATACTTAGATACTTTAAATATAATTTTAATCTAGAATGTACATTCATATTGATTTAATTTTTTAGTAGCAGTATTGTAACATTGAGTTTTTAATTGTATTGCGCCCACTGAACGTAAAAATTGACGCAGCGTCGAAAAGTCTGTAATAAGTTTCAACTTGTTTGCGGCGCGGCAATACAATTAAAAACTCAATGTTACAATACTTCGGTACAATTTAATGCCGCAAAACATTTTCTCCGGGCGATAAAAAAATGATAATGCGCGCCTAGGTTTAATTATATATTTTGTATGTAGAGCGTAGAAACTACATCTGAGGGTTGGACTCGTCGGCAACTGGTTAGTGCTGCGGGCGCGGCGCTGGCGGTCAGTGACCCCGAGCGAGCCGCGCCACTACTAGCCTCACTCGCACACAGACTACACGACCTACTGACGGCACAGGTAACACTACCAGCACTACAAGTATCCTTTGATACATATAGATAGTACAGATAGTAGATACATATAGATAGTCGGCAATGGCAATCATATACTGGGAACAGTATTATTGGTTCAGCTATGATTATATAGGAACGTCTATATGTAGCTGGAAGATGAGAAATCGTTGGGAGGCTACAGAAATATATTGAACATAATACTTATTATAGTCCAACATCCTATTAGTAATGTCAGGATTTTTATGATTGTGAGCTGTAAGATAATGATGGCAATAAGTTTGAGATAAAAATAATACCTAAAAGCTAAGTATCACACTGATCTCATAATATTGAATACAATAGTTGTGAATTATTCTATACAGGGTGACTGGTGAATTACTATCAATATTTAAGGAGAATACTCGGTACATGATTCTCATTCGAATTATGTAAAAAAAATAGGTACTTAATTTTTGACAAAATTTCCGTATAAATAAATAAAGTGTAGACACGTTCCAAGTGTGGACGCGTGCGGCGGCGTGCTGATAAAAAACCACGCCGCCTCACGCGTGTGTGTGTGTATACCTAATGTGTAGGGTGTTCACACGATGCGTAATTAATTACATAACTTTTGGTTAACTTTACTTAGAAGTTTATTAATATTTACGTTATATTAATTTTTATTTTGTCATATATGATCGTCAAATATCAAGTCCTCAAGTATCGATAGTAATTCACCAGTCACCCTGTATAAGCATAGTAAATGTAACTTTCTAATAGTAAAGATTGTCATAAGTATCACATTGTCAAGGGTTTTATGTGTAATAATGCACATCCATTATAATAATACATAAATATTCTTATATTATACACTAATAGCTTTTTAAAATGTTATGTATGTGTATATTTAACCACTATTATTACCTCTGAACATTGTGAGATCATTATATTATATTGATAATAAATCCATTAGTATTATGTGTATGTGAGCGGTATAGTTCATATCGTGTTGTATGTTCGCAGGCGCAGTCCGCGGCGTCCGCTCGTTCGTCAGCGGGCGGGGCGGCGGAGTGCGTGTCCTTGATGTGTGCGCTGAGCGCTCGGCCCGCGCTCGCCGCCGAACTGTTCCGTATACTGCGACCGGCGCTTGCACTACTACCAGCTAATCAAGACCTCACACAGGTTACTATGTCTATATTATTCTTTTTTTTTTATGCTATTACTTCATTTAAGATGTTGCCCGTGTCAACGTTTTTATTTGTTGGACGAATCGTAATCTTGTGTACTGTGTGGAGAAAACACGACGAAGGTTGTCGAATGGAATAAAGGTTTATATATTACTAGCTTTCCGGCCGCAGCTTCGCCCGCGTGGAGTTCGGTTATATCGCGTTTCCAAGAGAACCTTTTAAAGGTCTGGGATAAAAACTATCCTATATTCTTTCTCAAGGTCAACTCCATCTCTGTACCAAATTTCAATAAAATCAGTTCAGTGGTTTAGGCGTGAAAGCGTAACAGACAGACAGACAGAGAGAGTTACTTTCGCATTATATCTTAAATTAAATTTCAAATGTACAATTAATAATGTATTCATTATTGACTAAAATTCATGGTGAAACTCCAGGATTAAGTTCCATTTCGCTATTGCTTGTTAAATATATTAATAAACTAGCTGACCCGGCAAACGTTGTTTTGATATATAAATAAAAATGGGTTGGTGATAAAAAAGTAAACATTTTGGGCTGTAAGTATTTTTAAATGCTACATCATAAAAAAATAACACGACACGTGAATTTTATATATAAGATATATTTTTTGTTCAATGTTGCAAGTAACAATATATTGTCATGAGTAGTTATACAGGGTGACTGGTGAATTACTATCAATATTTAAGGAGCATACTCGGTACATGATTCTCATTCGAATTATGTAAAAAAAATAGGCACTTAATTTTTGACCAAATTTCCGTAAAAATAAATAAAGTGTGTACACGTTCCAAGTGTTCCAAGTGTGGACGCGTGCGGCCGCGTGCTGATACAACACTACGCCGCCGCCGCGTCTGTGTGTGTGTGTGTGTGTATACCTAATCTGTAGGGTGTTCATACGATGCGTACTTAATTACATAACTTTTGGTTAACTTTACTTAGAAGTTTATTAATATTTATGTTATATTAATTTTTATTTTGTCATATATGATCGTCAAATATCACGTCCTCAAATATCGATTGTAATTCACCAGTCACCCTGTATATATATTTTTATATTTTGTTTAATTTCTATATATTTTTGTTGTCTTGTTGTTTAACATTATTTCAGTTCATAGAACAAAGCGAAATTTATTATTATCGTTGCATATTTTCAGGCAATGTTTCAAATCTTAAAGCACACGGTGTCTGCTCTGATGGGGGATTGTATAAATGTTATTGAAGACATCGCGGTACTAATAATCGCCGGTTTCGAATCTCAGCCATGCCCGGTCGGTCTGGATGTAATAAAACTGGTAAGACATTCAACTTATAACCTCGTATTGATCATAAAGGAGATCGTTCAGGCTTCATACATTTTTGGGCCTTTTTTGAAAGTGCCGGCCAACAAAAAAAAATGGTACATATTTGTAGAACTAACCATTTGGAACAATAGTTAATATGGCGCAAAAGTTGTAGGGTCCAAGATATAGAAGTTATACAAGTTTCAAGATTCATCATTTTGGTACTTTATTTTTTTCTGAAAGTGTCAGGAAACATAAAATAATGATTGATATTGCTAGAGTTAAGCTTCTCAAGCAAATCATAGCCATAATCTGTTAGAAACCTGTCGTTTTTATGTAATACTAGCGAACCCGACAGACGTTGTTCCGCCAAGTATCTGAACGCATGCAACACATTTCTTGATGATTTTATTATTTGTCTAACCTAATATGTATATCGGGGTGCCATTTTTATATATTAAAAAAATGGGCCTAGAAGCACTTTTAACTGATTTTGTACCATTTCATGTCGGATTTGATCATATGACGCGAGAGCAAGTGGCGCAGAGCATGTACATAACCGCATGACTCCAGATTTTCTATAGCATCTCTAAAACCACGGTCTAATATAAAAATGTCACCAGGCCGGTAAAACCAGTGAAATACATTATTCAGTGCATCATTTAAAATCTGGGCATCGGAGGTTGTTGCAGCGATGGGCCATCTACCGCTATTATGGTTCCATTGCTTGTTGCAATATATAAAAAAGGCTTTAAAAGATTTCGAAAGTTATGGTTGCTATAAGATTTTCTTTGAAAAAAGGAATTAGTGCTCTTCCGTAAATATATGTAAGTGCCATCAAGTATAGAGATGGCCTTTCTTTCTTCAATCGGACTATCCGGATTACCAAATTATCGCTCTGGCACAATGAGGTTCCTCTGCGCCACTTGCTCTCGCGTCATATGATCAAATCCGACATGAAATGGTACAAAATCAGTTAAAAGTGCTTCTAGGCCCATTTTTTTAATATATAAAAATGGCACCCCGATATACATATTAGTTTAGACAAATAATAAAATCATCAAGAAATGTGTTGCATGCGTTCAGATACTTGGCGGAACAACGTCTGTCGGGTTCGCTAGTATTACATAAAAACGACAGGTTTCTAACAGATTATGGCTATGATTTGCTTGAGAAGCTTAACTCTAGCAATATCAATCATTATTTTATGTTTCCTGGCACTTTCAGAAAAAAATAAAGTACCAAAATGATGAATCTTGAAACTTGTATAACTTCTATATCTTGGATCCTACAACTTTTGCGCCATATTAACTATTGTTCCAAATGGTTAGTTCTACAAATATGTACCATTTTTTTTTGTTGGCCGGCACTTTTAAAAAAGGCCCAAAAAGGATGATCTCCTTTAAAAGAATTATAAGCTGTAAAGTTGCAACCATAACTATTCTAATAGTTTATCTATATCTGTACGTGGTTCTTTATTTCTGTCACTCAACTTCTTACACAGTTCAGTTCGGTCCAATTCTCCAGAGAGTGTCCAGTTTTTCGTTCATACATTTTGTTACATAATAATGTCAATGTTATACATGATATGTAGGGTTACTAACCTATGGTAGGGTATAAATAAAAATGAAAACTGAACACCCTGTACATGCTCACAATAGGGTCTTATTACATTTTTTATATAAATTAACTAGAAGATCCGGCGAACTTCGTATCGCCCTATGATCAAGAAATATCTGCTACGTTTTTTTTAATAAGTAAATTTAGGTTATACCATAGCCTCAGAAACACATGGTGGTTATGTTATTATTAAATAGTCGCTCATATATAACGTTTGTATTTTTAACAAAGCCCCATCTATTGAATACTTAATTCAGTCAACAGATAATTGTAATAATGACAAATAATTTTCTTCAATAGACAAATAATTTGCAATAAAATAATATTGTGACTATAAATTGAGATGTAAGCTATCCTATCTTTCAAATTGGATCAAAATGCACACGGAATGCAAATCAAATTTAAAATCGGTTTAGTAGTTTAGGAGTCCATAGTGGACAAACACGTGACACGAAATTTTTATATATATAAAGATGTAATTAGTGTGTTGTGTGTGTCAGGTGGCGGTGATGGTGGGTAGTGAGTGGGAAGGCACGGCGGGTGTAGTCCGCGCGGGCGTGGTGTCGAGCGCGCGCGCGGTGGCCCCACAGACCAGCATGCACGCGCTCGACCCGCAGTACCTACTGACGGTGGAGCACACCACCGGACATCCGTGTCCCGAACTAGCGGAGGCGCTGTTCGTGTTGCTCGACGCCCTCACCAAGAAACAGCCGCGGGCCATCGAGTGGATTGAAGATATACTGCCTGATCTTATCGCTTTAGGTTGGTGAATAATAATATATATAAAAATAAGTCCGGTTTTCCTTCCTGACGTTATAACTCCAGAATGAACGAACCGATTTCCACGGTTTTGCATTCGTTGGAAAGGTCTCGGACTCCGTGAGGTTTATAACAAAAAATTTCAACAGAAAAGCGGGAATTTTTTTTTCACATACAGCGCCATTATACATAACATCTACTACAAATCAATATTTTAAGTAGAAGGCGCCGGTGCATGATACATTGTTTGACAGCTACTCTGTACTCATTGTTCTCTGCTCAGTTAATTTCATGTGACAAACCGGTATTGTGTTTGTAGTTTAAACTTTTAAAACCATTTAGTATTTGCGGGATAAATATAGAAAATCATTGTTTTTCACATGGACAGTTATACTTTGCGTGTTCACGAGTTGGGAAACCATCCGTTTTATTTGTGTTAACGTTAGACCAAAAAAAAAAGTGGTTTACAAAGGAGCACTTCAATGAAACGGATTATTTTGCGGACACGTATAACGCTTCGATTCTGTATCTACTTTGGATTCACTTTCATTTAGTTAGAGAAGTTCAACTAAATAACACTTCATTTTTGTAAACGAAATGAATTCATTACTGTTGTGAAATGAAATAAAAATTTTCCTTTTCAATCAAATATAAAACAAAAAAACAAATTTTCTTTGTCTTTTAGTGATTAACCTTCCTATACCCGCGTCAAATACTGTAACACATATACCCGCGTCGGTCACTGGGACCGATAGTTCTTTCGTTTACTAAATACATAGCTATCATTTAAACCACACAAAAATATACTTTATGATTAAAAAGGACTTTTACATAATCAATATAAAAAAGTTTATGACAATAATAATGTTTATTACTAACTAACAGTCTTTTTATTACAGCCTTTGAAAAATAGTGCTTATTCTTATAAACTATTTAAAATGCAACAAAAAATACCTATTCTGAAACTAAACAAAAAGAAAAACTCTTAAATCTTTAAAATTACTAAATAAACAATAAAAAGCTATAGATTAATTTTCCTCTGATGGTCCACCATAGCAGTCAGAGCACACCATAATCACATGTTTCATATAAAAATATTTCTTGCAAGTAGTGCAGTTATATCGGGTCCCTCGATTTTATTTTGGGGCTATAATAATAGCAATTACCTATTTTATTATTTTTTGTTGTAGCTGTGGACCCTGGATAATCTAATTTGCAAATTTTAGCAAATCTTTGTCTTATCAGTCTTGGTAAATGTGTTTGTATTACGTCGTCTCAGATGTGGATTCATGAGATCATATGATAGGGCTTCCAAAAATTAACTGCGAATAATTTTTTGCTGGGAATATTGAGGACATATATGACGTCATAAATCTTTGGCATTCAATTTATTATTTCGTCTAACACCAGCAAAGAGTAAACGACCAAGAAAGGCTTGAATTTCAATCTCATCATTTTGTTAGATTATCTTTGCCGAGATAGTAGTCACTAAAAGTTATTCGATCCCCTACTTTGCTGTTGGAATCTTCCTGTAGTTCAGTATCACTTTTTTTAGCCTCTCTTTCCACGCAATCCTCGAAATCACTATCATTTTCATCATCGTAGTTAGAATTTGAATTATTCTCCTCTAAAATTAATCTTATTTGTTTGTCGACCATTTTGGGAAATTTAACCTAAAAGTAGTATAAAAGTATGTTATGAAATAATAATCCAATAATAATATAGAAATCATTAAAATTATATAACTAATAAAACACAGCACTCACCTAAAACTGTATCAGCTATACCCGCGTCGGTCTCCTGGACCAAACGGTTTCGTGTACGGACATACGTACTACCCGTAAAAGCGCTTCCGCCACACTTAATAGACGCCGGCGACGATTCCGGCAGCTAGCAGTGAGCCCAATGTGCTAGCATTTATCGTTAATTAGAAAAAGACGCAAACTGAAACTGTCGGTCTGACAGACCAATACGCGGGTATAGGAGGGTTAAAAGAATGTTACATAAAACAAAGCCTTCTGGTGGCGAAACGGATTTCGCCGGGTTTACTAGTAATATATATGGATTTTAAATCACACTAACAAAATTAGGGCCCTAGAAATGGGACGTTTTAATGTTTTCAATATAATTTAAACTGTCCTAACTCATAAATCATAATATAATGTTGCAGCGTGTGAGTTCGTCCGTGCGTGGGAGGCTCGTGCGGCGAGCGCGGCGTGTTCGTGGCTGGGGTCGCTGGCGGCCGTCCGCCCCGCCTGCCTGGAGCCCCGCGCGCCGCTCCTCACACACACAGCGCTGCGGTGCATCGGTACATATGTTAAGCAATTTATTATTTTTATGAAATATTATAAAAATATATAAACAATTTCGGCCGCTTGTAACCGCTGGTACAAAATTATTTATTTATGTATTAAAAATAGAAATAGTAACATTTTAAAGTAATGTGATGTGCAAAGGATAACTTAAGATAGTTAAAATAAATTATAAGTCTTCCCAACATAACTCTTGCAAGCATTCTATGCTTTTATTATGTCATGTAATCCGAGCGTTTTCTATCAGGAGGAGCGACACCCCGTAACCAGATGGAACCTCTTACTAAACTGCTTCTGGCTCTAAACCGTGCGTCGTGGCCGTCCCAGTCGGCGGGCGCGGGCGGACCTCTCGGTGACTGGCTGCGAGCCTCACTGTCAGCTCCCGGTTTCCCCACCGTACACTCCACTGAAGCTCACAAGCAAAAGTTCATTGCAGCCGTTCTCAGGTTCGATATATGTGACGTCATTCATTTTATATACAAACCACGTACTGAGTACAAGTGTGCGGCGATCGGTCGCTCCAAGGTCGCCGAGCATATACGCAAAGTGTATATATATAATATGCACATTAAACACACACCGGATAGTGTGTTAAGATGTGTGACCATCATTTATCATATTTGACTTAATCTTTTTTATGTTTGTAAACGTTACGTTACGTAACTTGCAACTTGCTTATTACTTTTTGATATTCAAATTTATTTTGCGAAGTTATTCCGAATCACCCTGTAAATACAATTTTGTGTATGACTATCACCAAGGATTCCGAACTGAATTGCCTGGTTTGACTAGTGTCAACTGAGGCAAAAGCTTACAGTAGCCTGCCTCCGCTAGCTAACCCTCGACCTAGTACTACTTGAGGATTTACTTAGTGTGATTATAATTATTTTTTATAACAAAAAATACATTAATGTAATACTATCTTTCACGACAGAGAGAAGACCAGCAAACGACGATTATTGGAAGCGGTCCAAGAGTTCTCATTAGGATGTCGAGGTCTCATAGGGACGGAGTACGCACGACAGACGCTATCAGCTAAACAAATGGTCTAGATTTAGCTATAGTTTTGTTTTAACTTTTGAAAAGCAATTTTCCTAACCTTTAACCTATATTGTATTTGCAATTAGTAAAAAAACTACAAGTTTCTGTAAGAAAGAAATACTATTTTCATAAAACCGATAATATTTCGACATAATATGTTTGACTAGAGTTAGAATGATTTAATTCCTAATACCTGTATTTTTAAATATTGTCAGGCTGTCCTATCTGATTGAAAGATGTCCCTCAATAAGTTTTTTATTTAATTATAATTGTTTGAATTTAGTGTAGCTCTCAATTAAAAAATTAATAGCTATTTCCTTGTAAATATTTTTATATTTATTTCCAAATAAATCTGGACATGGTAATATTTTTCCAAAATATAGTAGTAAATTTTTTATTACGACAACCTATTATGTAATTTATTTTGTTTCACCTTACCATATTTATATCTTTTATGTAGATATGGAAATAAAGTCATTTCTTATCATTGTAAGATCAAGTTCTCTTAATGTTTTAAATAACTTGTGTTGTAGATGCTAGTATTAATGGATGTTGTAAAGAATCAAAATAAAACATTTTAAATTAATTTTACCTTTTTAATTGATACAAATTGGAAGCTTAAACTAACAGAAAACTTAAACAAAAACAAATATAACGGCCGGTAAAAGTCGCTAATGCAAATATATATCTTAACAAAACATCACAGACATCAAAATATTTTAAGCAACATATAAAAAAGCTGGACAATAAATTTTGGATATAAAATCTACGACTCTCCTACATTATAGGTTACATATAAAAGGATTACAAACACTACAAATACATAATATACCATCCATTGTAATGAGATATAAGTTCATCTAATGGATTAAACTATTGAATACAAAACTAATTACTTTCTCCAATTTTCCATGCTTTTTTGAGTCCTCAACTTCAGCCAAATCTGATTTGTCAATAACATTAATGAGCCCAATTAATCACTACCTTTCATATAAGAAACATCTTAAATATTAGTATAAATATTTGCATTTCACATACCAATATATTTTATAAGACCATACAAAGATATATATAAAATGTGTATTTTAAAAAAGTGTGTGCTATCAGTCTTATAACGCCAAAAATGTAGCCACATTAGACAATACTAATTCATAATTAATAATATGGTATATATCACTACACACTACTCACTACATGTATAAGATATATGATACTGTTAATATATGAACTGCATGAATGTTTTTATGACATTATATAGAAGAAAAATGCACTTAGAACTATCATTATATAAATATAATTAATATGTGAGTATATTTTGCATGTTTCACAATAAACCACTTTAAAGACACACAACTAAGGTGTCTCTCTTTGAAAGTTGAAGATCATATTTGCTTTTGTTCATAATATAAAACAAGTTGAAGCATAATTACAGAGTAGAGTTGCTTCAACATTTATGAGTCAGGATCTTTGTCATATACAAATAAAACATCCATATCTATACAGACAGGAGTCACATTAACTACACTGTAATTAAATTAATCATTTTAAGTGATTTTGTTAACTTTAGTCTTCACCATTGTGATCACATATTTTTAATATAACATGCAATTTGTGATTTATCAAATATCATTCAAAGCTAAAAAAATATATATATTATTAATGTATTTCTGTACTACTACCTATAATTCTTACCACTTTACATGAAGAGAAAGTACATATAACTAAGTATTTTGGTATAAAATGAATTCCTTGGTAAATTAACAACAATAAACAATATGAGAAATTGAGAAAGATATATGACAACATAAGAATAAAGATATTTGAAATAAATACACAATTTATAAATATGTAGGTACATAGTTAATTTTGGACAAAAAAATAGGTTATGAATTTCTTTAATTGATATAAATAAAGACTATGTACTTAAATACCAGAATAATTTATACCTTAATCCTATTTTAACTGTATTTTTCTTTGGGTGATATAAAGTCTATAATTATTATATCAGTGGTTCCCACTTATAACACTAAGTTCCTATAACTAAACATATACTAAAGTTTTTCATAATTTTAAGACGAATATAAATTTGTGGACACAACCTTTAAAATAATATGATTGTGACAAACATGAAAATACATACCCAAACAAAAATAAACCATACCAAATATTTTATTGGAACATTAACTGAAAATAATTTGACTGAATATATGAATGTCTAATGTAACTTATATTTTGTTAAATCACTGAGATGTCTTACTTAGCTCGTTTACGAGATTTAAATTCAACCCAGATTAATATCTGGTAACACACTATGCACTTTATACTACCATATATTTCTCTCTCAATTATTTTCACTTCAGAATACTTCATGGCTACAAGCACTTAACAATAATCACTACAGTTGTCCATCAAAGTCAATATCTCCACTGTTCTCAAGTACCAGACTCCTCACTGTGCAGTGGGTCCTGAAGGTATACCGTAAGTCTCATAGCGTACGACGCGGCCTTCGCTCACGTACACGATACACTCCGATCAGGAATCCGACTCCACCCGAACATTTTCCACGGCGGCCTCGCTTTTGTTGATTTCGACCACGAAGTCTAAGAACTTGTCCGGCTCGCAGTGACGGTTCTTAAAGCGGAGGAAATTCAGAGCCTGATCCAGCGTCAGGTGGAAGCAGTCCTGACGACTCACGTTCAGCGACGAGCTCTCAAGGTCGCTGTGGGTCGCCCGTGTATACACTAACTTTCTGTCGTTGTGTTGACCTAACACGGTGACCTGGTAATGAAATTAGGTTTCAATGAACTTTGTATGAAAAAAAATTACATACATATTATTTGGACCACACTTATTATGGAACAGCTGTACTAATCTTTATATATATAATTCTTCTGTGAGTGTGTATGTCACTGAACTTCTCTCAAACGACTGGTCCGATTTTGATGACATTTTTTGTTTGTGTTCAACAGGATCTGGGAATGGTTTAGATTCACAATTTTGTTCGCTGGACAATGGTTTTTTAATTAATGTTAATTTATTAGAAGTTGTTGATACATACGTTTTTTTTTTGACATTAGATTTGACAACTAACTAATATGTCAATCATTCTGTCACACTTCACGGAGATTCATGGCTCACAATTCACAAACACGGAGATTTATGGCTCTCATAGGTAAACTCCAAAAAATATGAATAAAAAAACGTAACAGATATTTCTTGATTATAGGTCTATACGAAGTTCGGCGGGTGTTCTTGTCTAATATATTCTGATGATACCTCATACGTATATTTGGCAGCATTGCACTTGGGTCCGATGTAAGCAACATAAACATAGACTCCCCAGGTGCGTATGTCCACGTCGACCCGTAGGTGGAACAGTTCCGTGAGCGCCATCACCAGCCAGTGGTCGTGCTGCTCTAAGTTCACCTGCATAGAGAACTTGTGCCTGCGACCCACCTTCAGCATCGATAGGTGCTTGCTCTGGAGAACACAACTTGTTATATCGTATATGACATGTACAGGGGGGAATATGAGTGACAATTTAACGTCAACTTTTAAAAACATGAGTTATTATACACATTTAAAACAGAATTGAAAAAAATTCATTTACTTTTCTTAAAGTATAATGTAATGAATAGGGCCCGGATTAATATGTAAATACATATTTTTAATTTACGCGATTTTCGGTCTAGAATGTGTTTTCTACATGGATTGTCATATTTAGACTGTGAAAAACCAACTTTTATTTTCCATATTTTACCATATTTCAAAGTTAAGTCCATATTTTACAAGAAAATATCACAATCATCCATATATTCACAAAAATAGATAAAATTTACGTTCCCGCCACTAATGTTTTCGATAAAAATAAAGGATTAATACGCTAAAAAAATAACAATATTCTGTGCGAAAGCTTCGAGGGCTGTACACATGGCTTACACAATTACTGAATGAAGTATGTTTTAGGTAGGCATCCATCACGTCAAGTGACGTGGAGAGATCATTCAGCAAATATTAGGCTATATTTCAACCAAATGGTCAGTTTTCATTTTGATAATTTAAAGAGGCACGTCATTGTGTATTGTAACCAATTTGATAAGGCTAGTGCAATGGAAGTTGAATAAAACTGTTATTTTTTGTTGAAATTAATATTTCGCTATTTCTTTTCATCGTTTTTTAAATGTAACTTAACGATGTACGTCACGAGGGACCCTTTTCTTATAGTAAAATAATGTTTAATTATGAAAGTATTTTTTTTATACTCCATAGTTTTTCCATATTTTTGATTTTTTCGTCCATATTTTATGTACATATTTTTGATTTTTTAATAAATATTTATCGGGGCCCTAGTAATGAATATCTGAATATTATAATGGTATATCAGAATAATTCAGAACAACAATATCATAATATGAAAATATCAGAATGACAAGAATATTCATAACAATTAAAGTAGTAATGGTTAGCGCGTCAGTTAAGGGGCCTCTTAAACCTACACCTGGGTCGCAAGTCCCAGGCACTGTTGAAGCTCCTCTCCCTGCAACGATGGACTCGGCACGCGCTCGGTGAATCCATTGGATGCTAAGAGGTTTCGTCTCATTTAAGACGAGAGGGGAGTCCCATCAAGTCTGTCTAATATAAAGGTATGATGCTGTCATACTCGGAAGTGTTGTGACAGGTCAGTAAGGGCCAGATGCGGGCGGTCTGCGCAGGTCGGCGCGGGGCAGCGGTACCGGCGCGCTGCGCAGCTCGCCTCGTGCACGCTGCGCCGACGGAGACGAGTCTCACGACCGCAGCCGTAGCGACACGGGTAGCGGAGCAGCTCCGTCACCTGCACACGGAACATGAACATATACAATGAATTTTGACAATAATAGTAACATATAGTATGTTCAAATGCTCTTAATGATTTTTGAGTGAACGTCATAAATACATATAAAATCCAAAGTACCTCATATTCTCATTTATAATATCACTAGTATTTTCGGACATATTGTTAAATTAATAGCAATCAGACGTTAACCAAAAAAAAATTGATATCAATTAGAATGATTCGTAAATAAATAAGTATTATATACTGACAGCCTCCATAGCCCGGTTTCGGACTGATGAGAAGGTGATCCTACAGACGGGGCAGGCGGAGAGGCGCGCCCGGCACCGACCACACACCAGGTGACCACGGCGACATTGACACATGGGTGGCTCCATCCACTCCAGGCACACGGGACACTCCAACAAGCGAAGAAGGTTCTGAGACATTACACATGGATATATATTAGATAGGAGCCGATTAAACCTACACCTGGGTCGCAAGTCCCAGGCACTGTTGAAGCTCCTCACACTACAAGGACGGACCCGAAACCCGCACGGTGAATCCATTGAATGCTAAGAAATTTCCTCTCTCTCTCCCTATTATCTCAATAATGGACTGCTACGAAATAGTTATATTTCAAACCTTAGTAGTATTAGAGCAGTAAATACTACAAGTTATATAAATTGAACGGAACTATACACACAAACTAAGGTGTAAATACATTGGATATTTAAATAAAACTAAATATACATATTACATGACAATAGGTTCAAAGAAATTACCCTTTTAATAATTTTTTATCTATTATTGAAAAGCAATGAAACGCGTTCAGAAATTGATTTAAATAAATTAACTTCTAAACTAATAGTGACAGTAACAATGATGTTATTTTAATCATAAACCTCCAAATTTTTTATACGAAGTTTAAAAATTCTTACCTGGTTAAATTCCTTGACAGTAGTCGGCTCTATTTCGTCATCTAAAAAAGGAAAAATAATTTTTATATTATTCAAATTTTAATAATATATATATTTTATTTAATTATATATTAATAAACTCACTGTCTCTCTTCCTTTTTACAACTCTAGACGCTTGTTGTTCGTCTGGAACGGCGATAGGAGCTGAATCCTAAACAATAATTATATTCTGATAAGATATTAGTTCATATATGTAGAATCATAATTTAGAAAATAAAGCATTAATGATAAAAGCCTTAATCTACAGTTGTAATTATAACATAGGTTCATTATACAAATTTAAATTTTATTATTTGGATGGTTTTCGTATACCCTTACTACATCATTACAAGTTAAAAAAAACTGGCCACTGTTTACAAAAGCTGACTGCTACTATTTACTATGACAATACAAACTTATATAGTAAAAGTATAGAAAGCATACTTCGTTACTATACATACTAAGATATACCTAATTCCATTTCTATTCTAATCTATGTTAAAACAATGTATGAATTTTTACAAATGGGAAACTGTAAACAATCTGTATGTATGTGACGATGCTAACTCAGACTAAGTATACTTGGTCTCTATATTAATTAATCCTAGTAATATTATAATTGCGCAAGTTTGTGAGTGTGTGTGTCTGTTTGTTACTTCTTCACGCTCAAACGGCTGAACCGATTTTGATAAAATTTTGTATACAGGAAGCTGACGTCCAGGAATAACACATAGGCTACTTTACATCCCGGAAATCTCGGTAATCCGCGGGTAACGGGGCGCAGCTAGTATAAATATATATTACTGTTGCATCAGTTTGTTCCTCGTCATCACTAGCCTGTTCTTGGTTGTCGTCACCAGCTCCCTCTTGTGAGTTAACTTCTGTCTCGGGGTCTATATCAACTATCTCCTCCACCTCGGATATACCAAGAGCTGCAGTATTCGCTGAAAAATTGCATTAAATAGGAATTATAATTCACAATCATGAAAAAATGATGATCATTTGATGATTAACTGATGATGAATAGGTCCTTTGTGAATAGAGTATATTATATAATATTACATATAACTCTTACATAAATAAAATATTTAATGTAATATCACAGTTGCTTTAAATAACTTACAAGGATTATTTTCCTGTTCATCCGAGTTGTCATTGTTATCTTGAATGGTTTGCATCAAGGGAATCTCTGGTGACTCATCTCCTATAATTAAAATACATTAAAACTTTAGTTATAATATTTGAAATTATAGTGTCAGTATATAATAATATAGTTGAAGGATTAATGGTATAAGAGATAAATATATAACTGTCTAAATATCTGTTATATATTTCCTAACAAATTAATGTAATAATAAAGGTAATATTAAAAGGTTGTCTTACCCTCGTCCTGCATTGGAGGATTTTCTAAATCCATAACGGCTGGTACTGTTAAAAATAAAATCAAACATATTTTATCTGTTATAATCCAAATATATTTCAGTTATTATAGACGGTTTTTGATGTCCACATTAATTTTCATTATTAATATAATTTTTTTTTTTATAAATACATCAGAGATACTTAAAGAATATATAATCTTATTCTTTTATAAATTTAATTTGTATCTTTTGTGCATTATGCACTGAAACATGCATCGATCTACAGTCAGACGAAACCTCTTAGCATCCAATGAATTCACCGTGCGGGTGACGGGTCCATCGTTGCAGGGAGAGGAGCTTCAAAAGTACCTGGGACTTGCGACCCAGGTGTAGGTTTAAGGGGGCCCCTTATCTCACGCGCGTTATACGCTCACCTCCACTGTCCAAGCTCCTCTCCCTACCTAACCGAATTTGAAAAGAACCTACTAGGGCTGCCTTCGACGTACGTTCCAAGAATGAATTAATGTTAGTTCTGGACAAGCCCAAGTCTTTTAGTAGGTTATAGAGAGATTTAGCTGTTTTACCTCTCGCTCCCACCTCTACCGCGTACAAATCAACGACGAACCTATTTCGAGTTAGTTCGTTAGTTAGTTCGTAATACTTATTGACCTTGAAGGCATGGTCTTCGGAGATGTTGGTTTCCCAAGACACTATCTGTAGCCCCGACTTCATCTGTGTAGTAGTAATTTAATTTACATTATGAAGAAACAAGATTTTTGGTCACAAATAGCCAAAGTTCCTTAATATAACATCAGCTAGCTACAAATTAAAATCTTTGATGTTAGTAATAAAAGCGACCCCCAATTTTATTAACTCCTAAAATAGTTCTGTAAATCTCTTACTTTTCATATATAAAATATTATGTCAATTAATATACAACGTGTAACGTAATTAACGCACACCCTCAAACACCCCAATTAGAATGTAATAATATAAACGCAATGCATACACCAAGTATTATTTATATGTGCGTTAGCATTTTTTATTTGTGAAATTAGTTATCCCAATTTCGTGCAAATAATATGGTCAGCTATTCAAAAACATTCCGCTGCACACACACACACACAGACAGACACTATGTACTCGCCACGCCCGCGCCCCTCTCTCCGAGTGCCGTTCGACAATAATAAGTAGTAAGTAATAATAAGTACACGAAATAACTACATTATGATTTATGATTCTTCTTTCCATCACACTTTTCAGGCTTAAGATTGTCGACATTGTGTGTGAATCAAAATATTAACAATGATTTAAAGATCATAAACAAACTTACAGTTTAATTTGCACTCGCACATCGTTGTCGTTTTAAAACATTTTCAAAATGTCCACCGCCTTGTTCAATGCACTTTAATGACCGTTTCCGCAATTGTGGTTTTATTTTAGATAATATTGCAGTGTCACTTTTGACTTTTACAAAGGCGGTTATTATTCTATTTTTTAGTTCCTCGAAACTTGTTGTCTCTGTGTTATAAACTAGCGATTTAATTTGCCCCCACAAAAAAAAAGTCGAGTGGCGTCAAATCAGCTGATCTAGGAGGTCAATGGACACGTGCGTTGGTATTTGATGTGTGCCGACTGTCGCTGTTGGTGTTGCGTGCGTAGGATGACTGTAATTTACTTAGTTCTATCTAAATTTCAGAAAAAAAATGACCTACATAAAAAACTATAAAAATCGATCCAGATACCGATTCTGAACAAACTACTTTCAGGGTGTGCGTTAATTATGTTACATGTTGTATACTCCAGATGTACATACCACTGTTCCTGTCTGAGTTCGGACGGTTCCTCTGTCTCACACGTCCTGCCACCCTTGGAGACATCATACCTGGTGAAAAAGCTAACAATATGTTTTAGAATCATCATTATGTAAACCTGAAATAAATATATCAAAATTATTATTGATGTCAAACTTCTAACGTGACTTCCAATAAGGTTGAATTAAACATTCAACACGCCTGAAGAGGATAAATAGGGAGAGAATCAAGAGTAAATGGGGGGTTGATTGTGAATTGTAAGCAATTTTTATAAACTAGGTATTAAAGAAACAATTTGATTTCACTAACAATAGACTTCTACACCTTCCTATTTTTATTTCCACATTACTAAGTTTCACTTCTTCCACACAGAGGGAGTCCACACACTATTTTTTATGTTTTAATATTTATCTAATTAGTAGATATGAATGAACAAAACTAACGCTTATTGTATGTTAAGATATGATTAGAGAAACTCAATTGAATACTTACAAGAGGGCAATATATTCACATAGGTGCTTCTGAAAGTATGTTTTGGACTAGGATTATGATTTAGTCTTTTGATGGCAAAGATTCGTTGCAAATTGGAAACTGGACTATTGAGGTCAACTGACTCAGTCGGTCGTGAATTCTCAATAGTACTTGCGCTACTTGTGCTTGGTCTGAAATAGTATGAAAATATGTTTCACAAATTTACTTAAGCCAATTTTATTCTACATTTTACCCAATGTCATTTTATCCACAAATTGTGTTTAGTAGATATAAAATACACATTTTTTTAAAATAGAATACATATAAAATTATGCATTTTATATTATTAATTTCTATGTAAGTAATGTTTACTTCATTTGGCTGACATAGTCAATTTTGAGTTATATACCTTGAGGATTCTGTTGGTATTGTAGTCCTAGGATTGTTTAGCAAAGACCAAAAGAGTTCCCGCTCCAATCTTGCTTGGTTTCTTCTTACAGGGATAATAGAAGGGATTACACCTGCAATATAGGATACATGATGATTTCTATGGTCATATAATGAAAAAGAAAGTACAGTGTAAGTATAATGTTACACTCACCAGCCCCGCTGGTCCCAGGTGTTGTTGTACTTCTAGGCTCAATATTTTCTGGTCGGCTAAATGTCGGATTATGACAGGGAGGTAGAGTCTCTTCATCATCTATATTATAAAAAACTCCACATAAAGCTTTTAAGTTTGATTTTATTTTTACACAGTGCCTAGGTTGGCCAGTTTGCAAACATAATTTATTAATTATTGTAACTAATAAGATTACTTAAAATTATCCAAAGTAGTCTAATGATTTTATAAACTATATGATAGCATTAGTAAATAGCAAAATGTTTACAAAGAAAATGTTAAAAATCTAGTTCTTCAAACAATTTTTTTAATTTGACTGCACAAGAGACAGACAAGTAGATTTTTGTGATATAGGAGTATGCAAAAAAAATGATTTTATATAGTTTATTTAATGTTACGGTGCTTATTGTGCTATTCCTCGCTTAATATATCGTATTTTGAGGGTACTCATAATTAAAGTTCATTGTAATTGACTCTTAAGAAGAATAGATCAAACTAATTAAAAAATATTAAATGTTGTAAAAATTACGTATAGATCTAATATTTCATCATCTCCAGACAAATTAAAATCGATTTAAAACAAAGAACCATACCAGAACTCCAGGGATATTCAGTTAGTCCTAGAGATTTTTTGATGCTTTCTTTTCTGTTACTCATAGTAAAATATACTGCACACTATTTATTTTAATTTAAGTGTTATAAAACGGAATCAAAGAATATAAATTACAGTCTATACACCAAATAAATTTGATACCGACCGCCGGCTAAAGTCTGCGGTCTGTGATTTCGCGAATCGTGACAAGCGACCGCAGGCGTCAATATTGCTTTATAGATATATAATATTTACATTTCCATTTAAAAGTTGTTAAAAATAAAACTAAGTTTCTTTCATATCCTTTTGATTAGTAATTTAATAGCTCTTGAAATATATATTTCATAAATTTGTTAACAGTCTATTGGAAGTTTTAAAAAATTTACAGATTTAAACTAGAACAAATTCTTTTGACTTGACATTTGTCTCCGCGGCAAGAAGTCAAATAAACAGAATTATTAGTTTTTAACTAACTCAACTTGAAAACCTCAAACCGCTTTTAAATATTTGGCTGCTATTGCGTTACATAGTCAAGTAACGAGATTTGAAATGACTGATTTACCTTATCAAGCTGAATATGCGAAAACAGGAAGAGCTTCATGTAAAGCCTGTAAAGCAAAAATTGATCAGGGGGATTTACGAATTGCGATTATGGTTCAGGTAAATGCCATATTGCTAAATTCATAATATTGTTTTCTTTGATAAATATTTTTCTAATAATTTCTAATCTTCTTATATTTATTGTGTTTGGTTTACCATTGCTTATAAATTAGAAACGAAAAATATAATTTTGATTAAAACCCGAACCGGTATTGTACTCTCGAATGAAGTAGTCCTTGATGTCGTTGAGTAGGTATAATAAATAAATATTTAGGTATAAGAGGAAAACTATTATTAGTATTAGTATTTTGGTAGGAACTACTAAACAGAATTTGAATTTTTAAAATGGTCACAATTTATAAATTCCGGCCACTTGTTTAAAAGTCATTGCTTTGATATAACCGAATAAGGATAAAGATGTTGATATTAAGAAGGCTGACAACAAAGTTTAAAAAAAAAAGAATTTGTAATGTCATATAAATGCTAAAATTTAAAGGTTTTTAACCGTCTAAACTCCATTTTAGTTCATTCTGTTGAGTGTTGATTCAGAGTAACACTTGATAACAAGAAAAGATATAACCATCATCATTCTTAATCACTCCAGTATGGGAGATAGGTCTCTTCTATGTAACTCCACTAAGCTTTACCTTCTTTAGCTTTCCACTTTGTCTTCCAAAAATTATAATGATACCAAATTTTACTTTTAAAAACAATTTTCTTTATGTTCCTGGTGATTAAACTTATTTTACTTTATAAATCACATCAGAAATCTAGTAATGGATATACAGTAGGACCCCGATTATCCGGACCTCGGTTATCCGAATTCGCGATTATCCGGACTGCCAATCGCGACGAGTTTTTTTCGGAATGGTCGAGTTCCCGTAGAATTTTCAGGATAAAACCTATATTTTTTTTTAATTCACAATGAAGTACTCTTAACCAACAACATATTTATTTGAATAAAGATTAATATTATTAAGATTAATATAATGTTGATACAACTTAAACAAATTATTTCGACCAAATTAGATACCATAAAAACGGTTTTTGTGAGTTAATCTTAAAAGATAGACATATACTGTCGCGGACTGCTTTTTAGATTATTAATTAATACATATTTTTTGTGTATCTTAAACTATTATTCTTTAATACATATTTTTTGTGTATCTTGAACCGTTTTCACGGCGCACCCAACGGAAGGCTTCAAAGATGAAATAATTTCTCCCGTTTTTTACACATTTACCACTATATCTTTGTTCCTATTGGTCGTAGCGTAATGTTATATAGCCCACAGCCTTCCTCGATAACTGGACTACCCAACACAAAAAGAATTATGCAATTCTAACCAGTAGTTTCGGAGATTAGCGCTTTCAAACAAACTCTTCAGCTTTATAATATTAGTATAGATATGCAAAAAGCCCGTTTTTCTTCATATATTGGATTATCCGGACTTTCAATTATCCGGATGCCTACCGACAACAATTAGTCCGGATAATCGAGGTCCTACTGTACATTATGTTAATTTATGTAAGTTTTTAGTAGTGTGGAGCAATAAATTAAAAACGACGCATAGATTGTTCAGATCTTCTATGAAGAGCAATAATTTCTTAAATGCATAAAATGAAATTCCTGTATTTATAAATGAATTGTATTCATCTATAGAGAATAATATTGTATTTTGTGTGAAATAACCTCATGTTATATTTGTAGTCAGCCTTTCATGATGGAAAGCAACCAAATTGGCATCATGAAGAATGCTTCTTTAAAAAAAAGTGCCCTGAAAATATTTCTGATATCGCCAATTTTAATAAGTTAAAAAATGAAGATCAGAAAAGAATTAAAAGTAAACTAGGTATTTGTAAATGATTGATAATTAATAAAATGGAATTAAGTTGACAAATATGCTATAAGTTTTGTAATTTTCTTTTTTCTAACTATTACCAGGCACTGGCAACCCATCTGGTGTGGTGTTGCCATCTGAAAAACCAAAGAAAGGAAAAGGTCAAAAAAGGGATAATAACGAAAAAGCTGGTCTTTCAAATTACTCAATAGAATATGCAAAATCAAGCAGGGCTACTTGTAAACAATGTGATATTAAAATTTGTAAGGTAACCATTACTTTGTACTTATTAGTTTTAAATGTTCAAAGATGTAAATTTTTTTCAATGTGAAATTATTTTCTAAAATTAAAATTCTAAATATAGATACGGGTAATGCATCTAGCAATTATTTTTTTATATTTTTTTTTAGGATGAAGTTAGGGTTTCCAAAATGGGTTATGATCCAAAGTATGGAGATCATCCAATGTGGCATCATGTTAAATGTTTTGCAGAGAGGCAAAGTGAGTTTCTATTTTTTGCTGGAGGGGAAGAAATCCCAGGTTTCAATACATTGAAAAAAGAAGATCAAACTATGGTTAAAGATATAATAAAGTGTGTAATCCCCCATTTTTTCTAATGTTTGCATGCAAATATAAGTTATATATAAACGTATAATTTCGTCATTTATGATATTTTTTCAGACCTTGTAAAGAAAGTGAAATACCAATCAAGAAATTAAAAATGGAACCAAAAGATGAAGCTGATATAAAGAAGGAAAAAGACTTGCAGAAGAAAATTGAAAAACAAAATAAAACATTCCATAAATATCGCAGTGCATTAAGTGATTTTTCAAAAAGTAATTTACATAAAATACTGACTGAAAACTCACAAGAAATACTTAAAGGGCAAAATGAGGTTAAATATATATTTTTTATTCTTATTTAAGAAGACTGTGTCAAAATTGTTTATTCTATACATTTTGAAATAGTTTATGTATTTTATGGTTCTTTATTTATTTTAAAAGCAATATTTAAAATAATAAAATAGTAGAAGTTAATATAATTTCATCCACACTTAAATTTTTGAAGAAAATGTTATTGTTTTTTCTCTTTTTTTTTTGTTTAACTTAATATTAACTAGATAGGTATTGTTTAATTATTTTTTTTGTTTCTGTAAAGCAAGTGTAATAAGTTTTCTTAAAAACAACTTGTATGACAGTGTCTAGATCACATAGCTGATATGATGGCATTTGGAGCTTTGGACCCTTGCCCTGAATGCAAGGGACAGCTTGTATTAGACACCTTTTACTATAAATGCTCAGGTAAATATATATTTTTATTGTAACTATCTGTTTCTTATTAAGTCTGTAATAATAATGTATTTTTTAAGGCAATATAAGTGAATGGTCCAAATGTAGGTATACTACAAAAACTCCTAAACGACATACAATGAAAATTCACAAGGAGCACAAAGATTTGGCCCCTTTTAAAAGCTTTAAATCTAAAGTATCAGAGAGAGTATTTGAAGTGGAACCACCACCGACCACTGTTGTTGTGAAGAAGGAAGAACCTGAAAGGTAGAAGTATAAACAATAACTTGATTGTGTATTACATATCGATTTCTCGAATACACAAATAAATTTAAATGCTTATACATATTTGGTTTTCCTAAAACAGTTCACAAAAAACTCTTCCATTGCCTCCATTGAAAAATCTGCAATTTTTCCTGTATGGTGGTCTGAAAAAGAAGGTGGAAACTAAAAATCGTATTTTGAAGATGGGTGGCTTAGTTGTTAGCAAACTGACGGAGACTCTGGCGGCTGTCGTGTCTACTAAGAAGGACTTGGAAAAGATGACCAGCAAAATGCAGGACATACAAGATATGGATATTGAGGTTCATTATATAGAGTTGACATTTATTTATTTATTGTTTCATCTGGCAATCCAACAGTGTTACAGTATGTTAAAAAAAATTACAATATAATGCAAAAATTATGACCAAATTAGGATTACACTATTATAACATCAATTCGAAAAGCAGTCTCAACGTGAAATACTTTATACAACTTTAACTGAATAATACTACTTTACGGTTTATTTTATACATATATTTTACTACGACTTCATTCTATATTTAATTAAAAAATTACTTATTTTCACTTTAAAGTATTAAGTTTAAAAAAACCTTACGATTGAAATATTAACTTAATATTCGTAAAGTGGCCGGAAGAAACGAAAATAAGTGAAAGCTTTTTTATTATCTTTGCGTCTTATTTAATTAATATTTTTGATATCACAAATGTGTACTATGTGAGTTTTTATTTATTATTTTATTGATCATATTATTTGAAAAATAATAATTTTTAATTATTTTCATTATATCTTAGGTGGTAGAAGAGTCATTCCTTGATTCAATTGACCCTGAGAGTGGAACAATCGCTAAGTCGCTAGAACTGATCAAAGAAAACAATATAGCGGACTGGGGTTCTGATGTAAGTGGAAAGTTTCTTCTTAATTATTAATTGACTAGCTTTCCGCCCGCAGCTTCGCCGCGTGGAGTTCGGTTATATCGCGTTTCCAAGAGAACCTTTCAAAAGTCTGGGATAAAAACTATCCTATGTTCTTTCTCAAGGTCAACTCTATCTCTGTACCGAATTTCATTAAAATCAGTTCAGTGGTTTAGGCGTGAAAGCGTAGCAGACAGACAGACAGACAGACAGACAGAGTTACTTTCGCATTTATAATATTAGTAGGGATTAACATTCAATATTAAAAATAATAGTAATATTATACTCGTATATATGAATTTAGCATTTTTTGTTCACATATCTTTAGTCTAGATTAGAATATTTTAAGAATTAAAATGTGATTTAGGTAAAAAATAAACACAATTTATATTGTTGGTGTCAGTTTAATCAACTGTTATATCTTAATATAAATCGTTTCTTTTCAGCCCACAAAACGCGTTCCCCAAGACGTGCTCGACGGGAAATCCATACAGAAATCTGGAAGCATGTACGCGAAATCAAAGTCCGCCATCACTAAACTAAAGATAAAAGGTGATACAACTATATCTAACATTCTATATATAAATATTAAAAAAAAAGAATAAAGTACTTTTAAAGATCTCCATGATTATTCAATCGATTTCTGAGAACATTGGAATAGTTTTATTCATTACACATTGTTTAGTATACCAGCTCATCACATAATTGCGTGTGTGCGTACTTGGATACATGTGTGTGTGTGTATGTATGTTAATGTATGACGTCATCACTAGGTGGAACGGCCGTTGACCCCGACTCAGGTCTAGAGGAGATGGCTCACGTGTACTCGTCTCCAAATGGAGACAAGTATTCAGTAGTGCTGGGGAAAACGGACGTGGTGGCTGGGAAGAACTCGTACTATAAACTGCAGGTGCTTAAGGCTGATACTGGAAATAAGTGAGTTACACACTACGTTAATACTTGGACCTGTAGCTTACTAGTCACAGTTGACCTCAACAAAAATACAGTTTTAACAATAACAATAGAATTACTGAAATAGCTACACGTTTGACAATTGTAGTGTATGTATCTGTACAATAGATATAATACACTGTATCACGTACCCCACTGGAGGGGGTGGCATGCGCTCGGCAGTCTAATGACTAGCGCGGAGTGGAACGGGGACGTGCGCCTGAGCTCTAGACGGGGTAGTAATGAGCCAGTGACTAGTTATACTCACATGTAGGACCAAGGATCCTACAACGATGAAACCTATACAACGACTAGCCGTATAATAATAATAAAAAGTTTCATAACATCTATCCGATATAAGGGCCGACGAAACAGCTAAGAAAATTCAATAATGGGTTATAAAAAAACGTCGCGTTTTAAAGACGCTTATCCGTGAAAGTGTATTTATAATTACATTGGTTCTATTTGAAAGATCTCGTAAAAATAAGTCTACACTCGTAACTTGATTTTCTTTTCATAGATTTTGGCTGTTTCGATCTTGGGGTAGAATCGGCACGCCGATTGGTGGTAACAAGTTGGAGCCGTGCACCACCTTACACGATGCTATGGAAAAATTTGAAGATCTGTATTTCGAGAGGACTCAAAATCACTGGAAGAGCCGACATAACTTCGTCAAGGTATAGGAATTATTATCATTTCAGCTCAAATTGTTTCTGAGCAAGTAATATAATCAAAATTATGTATTAAATAAATGGATTCAATTATTAATTGTTATTTGAAGGTACCTGAAGCATATGTGCCTATAGAGATGGACTATAGTGATGAACCGGCGCAAGCTCTCCAACAAGATGACAAGTGTTCGCTACCGAGCAGTGTACAGAGTCTGTTGCAGAGGATCTTCGACATCGATACCATGAAGAAAACACTACTGGAGTTTGAGGTGTGTGTATGTGTGTGTGTGTGTGCGTGAGTGTGTGCGTGTGCGTGTATGTGTGTGTGGTATAATCCCACTATTATTCAAAATGTATAAGATTGTAGATCGATGTATTTTTCGGACTCGTACATGCAAAAAAAAAAAATCAACAGATTTTTATAAAAGTATAGGTACAGAGTAATATAATTCATATACAAGAACAACTACTAGGCATTCGATTATCCCGAAGTCCGTCTATTTCTCGAGAGACTATAGCATAACAGTTGTAATACAAGTCACTCGATTAGGATCATAGATGTGTGTAGAATGCAGTTACCGTAGCTAACTTAAGAACACATTAGTATTTCTATCAAAAACCGAAGTGTTTTTAAAAACTTTTGTAAGGATATAATGAACTATGAATACACCTGCATGAATCGACCAAAAAAATCTTTAAGACAAAATGATTTATCACATAAATGAGTTCTACATAATATTTCAGCTTGATACAGAAAAAATGCCGCTGGGAAAACTGTCGAAGAAACAGATTAAGTCCGGATATAATGTACTATCAGAGTTACTACAATTACTGGAAAAGGGTGCAGCGAGTGAAAATAAAATTATAGACGCTACCAACAGGTATTATACTAAAAAAACAACAGTTTTTTTAAATACTACTGAATATTTACTGACAGTCAGTGGTGGCCTAATGGTTAGAGGGCCCGCCTCTCGTTGCCGAGAGCGCGGGTTCGATCCTGGCCCGGGCAAGTACCAATGTGATTTTCCGAGTCATATGTACTTTCTAAGAGTATTTAGACCTCACTGATTAATGCTGATTCCCAAAAGAGGGTTGATGTCAGGCAGGCGGGCCGGTCGTAAAAAAATATAGCCAAAACTATTAACAACACGTAAGGCAGACCCTGGCTATAGCCGGGAACTTGCCAGGTAGAAGAAAGTAGAAGGTACTTACTGAGCACTTCTACTTTTTAAATTCTACTGGTTAATTATTTTCTCAATAATAATGATTTTTAAATATATCCGATGTCTCTGTTTAGATTTTACACTCTCGTTCCACATAATTTCGGCACTGATAATCCGCCGTTACTGAATAATGTTGAGGCAATCAAACTCAAGACCGAGATGTTGGACAACTTACTTGAAATAGAAATAGCTTATAGCCTTCTTAAATCTGGTAAGTATTTTCAAATATAATTAGCATTCACTTTAGTTTTTATGTTAGTTTTTTATTTATATTTTCATATGTTTACAGAGGCAGATGACGACGTTAGTCCGATGGAGGCGCATTATCGTAAGTTAAAGGCCGATATAACTCCTATCGACAAGAAATCAGAAGAATTTGAAATGATTGTAGAATATGTGAAGAATACACACGCGGCCACACACAGTGGATACAAGTTGAACGTTCAAGAGGTTAGTTAAGATATAATTCCATAGCACAGAATCCCGTAATGAGATCTAAGACTTTCGCGAGCTTTATTCATTTAAATGACACTAATATTTTTCGCATATACGATGTATGCTTAATTTTTGTAAAAAACTACATACATACTGCCCACGTTTTGGTTACTTTTTAGCAACCGCGATCACAGGCAAACGAGATATGATAGGCAAAGAATTCCTTTTTTGAAATAAAGTAGTTATTTTGGTTTTTGCAACTGTGATCAAAGGCAGACGAGATGTGATAGGCAAAGAATTCCTTTTATAAAATAAAGTTGTCACAATGTTGCGTTTATATCTTTTAATATATTTTGTATTCAGGTGTTCAAAGTAGTTCGCGAAGGTGAAGAGAAGCGGTTTAAACCTTTCAGAAAACTTCACAATAGAAGACTTCTATGGCACGGATCCAGAACTACTAATTTTGCTGGAATATTATCTCAAGGTATTCTTTGCAAGCTGTAGTTAAATAAAATGCTCAATTCGCGTACTCTATAAGCTATATTCCGGAGGTTGAAACTTAAAAACCAATTCTTGTCGACGAAATTAATGTTCTATGTTCAAAATTTAATTCAAATTAGGGTTATTAGATAATCTAAATTCTAAATCTACTACTGCAAGGTTGAAATTGATATGTTAATATTTTGAATATGTTACAAAAATGGACTTGAATAATAGAGATAATCTAAATTATTTTATTTCAGGTCTTCGGATCGCACCTCCCGAGGCTCCGGTAACTGGTTACATGTTCGGGAAGGGTATCTACTTCGCTGACATGGTGTCCAAATCAGCTAATTACTGTTGTACCTCTAAGATAAACAACATCGGTCTGATGCTGCTTAGTGAGGTCGCCCTCGGAGATATGTCAGTACTCAGATCATTTATAAATATTTTTAGTTCAATTTGAAAAATTAACTCAAATTTATCGGCACTCTGCCACTTTTATTGAATAATATAGAAATTCTTATTGAGTTTTAAGTTATCAGAGGGATAACGTCAAAGACAACGAATAGATACGTTTAAAGATAAAAGACAATGCGTACAGACTTGAACTAAGGTATATAAAGTTTCGTTAGTTTAAAAGTACATAGTCTACCCTACCGATAAACTATAAATAAATATATTTCAATCTTTATGAAATATAACATTTTGCACCATCAAAAATTATGGTGTTCATTAGAAATATTCTTGTTTTATTGTACTATATGTTTATCAAATACGGTTAGTTAACTTTAATTTGTATGAATACAGGAAGGAGTGTGTGAAATCTGAGTACGTAACGAAGCTGACGGACAAACATTCAGTATGGGGCGTGGGACGCACGCAGCCCGACCCTGAACGGGCGAAAACTTTACCCGGGGGACTTGTAGTACCGCTGGGACCTCCTGTTAATAGAGACATCAGCACCGTGCTGCTATACAACGAGTATCCTTTACAAACATTGAATTTTAATACTATTTATCAATTATCCAAATTAATAGTATTTACGTATATAATGAACACATTCAGTATTATAAATCATGTATCAAACTTCACTAATATTTTACGAACTCTTGTAGTTTGATTAAAGTCAACCCACAGTACACTGCCTGTGTTGCGAAATGTGTTTGAAGACGTTGTTTTGACTTCTTTATAATAATATGATATTTGAAATACTATTTAAAGACATAAAGAGAGTGATAATTAACAATATATAATTTTTTTTTAAAAATAAATAAGCTATTTTATATTAAAAAAAAAATAATTATTTATTTATGTAATGAATATTTATAATTATTTTTATCATATTATATATATGTATGTAGTTGTTTTCGTATTCGTCAGCAGTGGTAATATTTTCACAATAATTTTCTCAATTCATTATTTCAGATTCATCGTATACGACGTTGCTCAAGTGAACGTCAAATATTTAATACAAATGGAATTCGACTACCAATATTGAGAATAGAACTTTCATTCCCTTTGTAATTCGTTTGATTTTTATTGTTTTTTTTTTTTCATTTCATTCTTTGAATTAAGCAGAAAATAATTCTGCATTTATATTTTTTAGGTTGCATTTATTATAAGAATAATGTTCTTTTTTTATTATTATTATATAATAATTGATTTATCATTAAATATTATTGATGCGGATAATCACAATTGTTATCAAAAAATTACATTTTTGTATTTTTAATTTGTTTTCATACATTACAGTTGTATGTACATATAAACAAGATGTTTACACAACAGGTCGACATATGCAGCCGGCGTTATAAAAATCTGCCTATACGTTGTTAATCACACAATTAAAATTGAAATCTTTGTTGAATTAAATTTTTCACTAAAACCTTATTTCATTTTTTCCCCTTATTTTTGAAAACATGATCATTGATTCTGTTTTTCCTAAAAAAAAATGTTATCATGTTTTTTTTTTAAGTTAAAGGTGGGCTCTGTATATACTAAGTATAAATTAAAGTATCATTTTTTCAAAGGAAACTCAAATGTTATGCAAAGTTTTAAGAATTAACAAGTACAATTAAAACAATAAAATATATATTACCGTTAGTGAATCAGTTTGTCGAATAAAAGAAATCATTTTATTTCTAAAATCAACCAAGATATTTACAAAAAAAGTGGTTTCAATACTGTGTGTGGGTGTGTGTGAGTGCTTTAAGAGGCATAAGACATCTTAAAGACAATGCTTATATATGCTCTAATATGCAGAAGTTTATATATTAAAAATAAAATACTAATTTACGAAAAAGGAAGTTATATTTTTTTTATCTAACAAATATCTTCAAAATTGTACAGTGGATCTTACATATATATTTCGAAGACATGTAGTCAATATAATAAAGCTTTGTAACGAAATATCTTCAACATCTATTTTTGATTTTATCTTTAAACTATCCTTGGCCACACGTTCTATTAGAACTAAAGCTATTATTAAACAAAGATGTTGAAGACTGACAAATAATTAATAATTATTGTGACTGTCTTATCACAATGTTTCCTACTTTTCAATTCTTAAAGATAAAACAAATTAGGATCAATAAATAATCACATTTTATAAGATCAAGTTTGTTGGTAGGAGGTATCAATTATATCAACCAAAAAAATCTTCACTTTTTTGCTGACTATTACTTACACCGTTCTTAATCTTTTTATGAAATTTTCAAGCCAACTCTGTGATACAGCAAGCAAGATTATGCTAATAAGGTACAATTACATCGTGTCTCCTTCCAAATATTAAAGAATAATGGTATAATATGTAACTGAATAATCATTTTGTGACAAAAAGTATTCATAAAACAAATGAGTTAAACATTCTGCAAATGTATCTACTATCTAGTATTACAAGAATATCAGGACTTTAGGAAATCCCCGTCTATAGGAAATCTTTGTTAGGAGGTTGTTATAAGTAAAAAAATATTTTCAAAATGTTTCATATACTATAAAACAAAAAGTAAGAAAAGCTTCGTAAAAAGGGTGTGGGAAATTGTAGGTTTAGTTCACTTATTTAATTTAAACTTTAAATCGTGCAAAAACTCTTTTCACTTGAGCAGAGCAAAGGACTGGAACAGTATGACCGAGTCTGTTTTTACTTCCATATACAATTTTGTGGTTTTCGGGGTAGATAGTTAGTAGTAATAGTACTGAGAAAGACCGTTCACTATTTACAACTTCACTGCCACCTAACAACGGACAGAATGACAGTTAAGCACTATCAAGGCTAAATTAAAAAAAAATTGTCTGTGGTTCTGTATTTTTCTTAACTTCACTTGGACCTGACACATGCGTCACTCAAATAGTTTTGACATTTCTATGTCACTTGTCATACGAACGTATATATATAGAGTATAGTATAGATTACTGTACATTGTGTAATTTATGTGCATCAATATCAAATTCTCGCGAGTAAACCGAGTTTTCGCACACGCAGTTAAGCCACAGAAATGAGAAAATACAGAATGACGAGGTGAAGGAGAAGATGTAATTTTTAAACTATATTTTATAAAACAGTTTTTAAATTAGGATAAATTAATAAGTGAACTGTTATCATTCGCACGTATCATTAGGCGTTTTAAAAAGTATACACATAAATATAGAAAAATGGAAATGTGTATTGTTAAGTGGAGCAACAAAGAAGTTTTAGAATTATTACATAAAGAGAAAATATCAAGCTTCATAATTGAAATTTGCAAGACTCAAGATATCGATGGACAGTGTTTACTTTCTTTTGTCGACCGCGATTTCTATGACTATCCATTTGATCAGTTAAAACTGGGTGAAAGAAAAAGGTTTATACTGTTAGTGAAAAAATTACAAAGGAATAATAGAAGTGCTATGTATGAACTTGGATTATATGATGATCATGCATCAAACAATCCTGCTACAAATATTAATTTCGTTGGAACAAATCTATCACATTTAAGTTACAATCTCCATAATCAATTACAAAATGAACTGTATGCAAGAAATACAGAATGCATCTCAAATTTTACACCAGATGTAAAAGCTTCCAAATTAAAGCCAGAAGTGTGGAAAACTGCAATAGCATTAGGTAATTATTAAAAATATGAAAAAATAATTTATTATTAAATTATCAAAGGTTTGTTTTTTCAAACAAAGGTTTGAGTTATTTCCATGTTTTTGTAATATTCTTTTATATATATATATTTATTTGATTTTTTACAGGGTATGTGTTTCTTGTCACATGGGTGACAGCAGTAGTAATGGTGATTGTCCACGACAAAGTTCCGGACATGAAAAAATATCCCCCGCTGCCCGATCTCTTCTTAGATAATGTACCACATATACCCTGGGCTTTTGATATGTGTGAAATTACTGGCTCATTCCTAATGGCTATTTGGCTAGTTGTTTTGTTCTTCCACAAACATAGGTAAGTTATTAAGAAATATTGACAAATACCAATTAATTCACCATTGTTATATGTTATTATATAAATGAATAGTGTACTGTTTGTCAACTGCTCATTGTGTTTGGTTTCAATTTTTATTTGTTTTCAGTATTAATTCTATCATTCTTTATAATACATGATATAAATTTAAAATATAATATTGGACTTTGTATTTCTAATGACTCATTTTATTATCTATTTGTAGCTGAGAATCCTGTAGGCAAAAACCAATTAACCATCACATATGCAAATTCAGATTATCAAAAATATTTTAAAATATGTCCCCATCTGTATGGATTTAATTTTATTATTCAACAATGAATTTAGTAGAATACTTTAAACAAAGCAATGACATGAAAAATTCTTTCTCAATTCTTTTAACTGTTATTGCGATATTCTCATCTATATTCATCCTGTGTGACATTATTTAGTAATGTAATGTTACTTTGTTTTTAAGTTTCTTTGTCTGTATACTACTGGTAAACACTGACAAAGAAATTCTTTGTGACGACAGATTTATTTTGGATTATCTTTTGAGTAACTGCTATATTATTTTTTGTATAGGTTTATAATTCTAAGAAGATTTTTCGCGCTGGCTGGTACGGTGTTCCTGTTGCGTTGTTTTACTATGTTGATAACGTCGCTGTCCGTGCCGGGGTCACATCTCAAGTGTGAGCCCCGGTTTTACCCGCCTGCTGATGATCTCACTGTTTGGGGGCGCCGTCTCCGACAAGCCTACGACATTTGGAGCGGTGCTGGCATGTCAGTACGCGGAGTCCGTACTTGCGGAGACTATATGTTCTCAGGGCACACCGTGGCCTTGACGCTCCTAAACTTTTTTATCACCGAATGTAAGTATAAATATTTGCTATCTTAATATTATTTTTAAATATTTGACCGGAATACTATTACAGCATAATGTAAGGCAAGGAAATCATATGGTCGCATTTGAATTTTTTCTGTGTACCTATCGTAAAATTGCGTGACTTGAATAATAGGGGTAAGTGATGTAAAGCACGATTGTTAGACCTTGGGCGATAGTTTTTAAATTACATTAAGTATACGACATCATTACGTCGCCATCATAATGAATTTGATACGGTCTTACATTTGATAAATCCGTATCTTTATCACTACTGGAGATATTATCGAGAATATGAAATAAAATCGTACAAAAATTTGGCATTTAAAGTCCGTTGACATTTTTTAAATCGTAATCAAAAATGTACTGGTCGGGTGCAAGTTTATTGTTGTTGCATAACATACCAAGAACTGATTCCGCTTACTACGATGAAATACGATGTTGTTTACATTGTTTATAAACAATTGAAACAGTGCCATCGTTGTAATTTGTTATACATGTTTATTGAATACGCATACCTATTCAATTTATTGCTCTTATAATCATTACTGCGTCACTACATTACCGAAGATTATTATTACTCACTTCGGATTCGTTTTCCGCTGAATTCTTATTACAAAAGGTTCCCTATATGACGTTGCATTCCGTTACAACTTACAAGTAACACTTAACATATACAATTTTACATCAATCTGTTCTATAGTTTTTGTTTTCTTGCTGTGATATAAATTAAGAAGTATTACTTTCCTTTCACTCGCTTTCTTTACAACCAGTATTTATTTAAAATATCATTAATTTCAATTCCATTACAGTCTATTTCTCTTCTGTTTTTCTTAACGCTTTGTCATATATTTATTCTACTCATTAGATCTGTATAAAATATTGTCAATGGACGCTTCTTTGCTGCTTGTAGCCAAAAATTCTTATATAACTCATTTTAAATGAGTATACGAAACGAATGCAAGATTTATTTACTGCAGTATATAGTACTTATACAATAAATTGAATTAATATATTGTTTAAGTGACGCTTTCTATTTTTGCCAACACAGCTTGGACACGCTACGATATGAATATTGATCGCATTCTTTTTACTTATCACAAGTTTGAATTGTTAAACTAAATAAGTAGCGTTACCAGTTGTTCATTATAGGTTTAAACATTGGTATATTATTGCAAACTGCAGACTAGTGTTAAGGTTAATGACCTTTGAAAATTTCAAGAAATGACGATAACTTAAAATAAAGACAATCATTATAAAGAAATGTCTTTTTTAAAATTCCTATTGCAATATTTTATTATTTAAGTACCAATTAGTTTTTATTTTTATTAGAGAAAGTTATTTCAAACATCATAATCTTGTAAGAAAAAACTTGGGTATTTTTATAATACGGATATTTATTTCCTCAGTTATTTGTTGTAATAAAATGTTCTTTTATGCGTCATTTGGTAGTCCAGCGATGAGTGTGTCACTGTGGCGATATGACTCTCATTTTTACTGCTTCGTGTATGCAACAGTAAAAAGGAAAATAAATTTTATTATGTATTGTATACAATACGACTTTGATAATCTATTTCTACAACATACATTCAATATTATCTTATATAATAATTAAATGTGAAGTTTTTTTTGAAACTACAGGAGAGTGTGTAACAATTAATGGAGAGAACTACAAATGAAATATCATAATATGTAATTAGTTTTTAAAATTTAACATTCTCTCTACAACAGACGTAGCGGCCGCGTGTATTTTAAGATTTACATATTTTTGTACAAAAATTATTTTACCAAACGTTTCTTTCACGTGATAAAAACGTATTTCATATAATTTATATTTCCATATTGTTAAGGAAGTTATAAAAACTAAAATATTTTTACGTCCGAAATCTAGTTAGATAAGCAGGTCATAATATATGATAAATACCAAAATTAAATGCCTATGCTAATGACAAATTTTTAAATATGGATTTTTTTGTACTTGGATTGTCTAAATCGTATAATGGAGAAGTAAATTGAACAGTATTGTAGAAACATTGTCAGCTGATGAATACAAAACTATTTTATTATAATAAAATATCCTATGAATGACAAACAATCTTATTAGTAAACAGATGGAGACATATTTCGCTACTACAACGGACACAACGAAATGCGTATAATTTTAAATAATTTGTAACTGGTTAATCTATGATACAATGTTTTGCCGTTGGCCACATTTATACAGCGAATAAGTTTATTTTAAGTTAATTTACCATAATAAAGGAAGGAATTAAGATTTTACTTTAAGAGCTAACTACAAAGCTGAAGGAATTTATACTAGGTACACTTTAAACAGCCAATTAGCCATGAGCAAGTGTGGTGATTAATGCTCTAAACTTCTCCATGTGAGGAGAGGCCTTTGCTCAGTAGTAGGCTTTGATAGGCTGATGAGTGATGAATGATGATGCTTTATTACGAGATAAAGTCGTCACACGGCGGAAATGTTACAAAAAATATATAGCACTGATCATGAAATCAAAATATTCTTCGTCTAATAGATTTTGATATTACAAATAAATAAAATGTGAGTGCAGTTGATTCTTTTTTCTTTAAATACAGCTAGACGGTGTTTACAGGTAACAGGAATTGACAGATACGTATATTTTTTGTCCAAGAAATGCTTAAGGATTGATGTTTAAAATATGTATATGTAAAACGAAATTATCCAATAATAAATTATGAATAATTTTATTATGTAATAAATTATGAACCACTGTATTTTAAAAGTAAATAATGAAAGCCACTGTTAAGAAGCAAAAAAAAATCGGATAAGAACAGGTCTGTTGATGAATAATGATGAAACCAATAAGGAACCAATAACGAATCATCACGTTCCTCGAATTAATGAGAGACTATAGAATTGAAATATTAAATTTTATTAAAAGCATTCTTATTATTTTCTAAATAATATATTTCTTCATTAACTTCAACCTTATAATTTTCTTACGTGCTTTAAAATATGCAAAATAAACAGAGCATGAATGGTCTTTACTCAAAAAGTTGGTTCTACTCCAAAGAGTACTTGAGTTTAACTTTTATCCACTTTTCGAATTGAAGAAAATAGGTCATTTCAAGCGTTCAAAGAAAAATCTTATGTATTTTTTTTATTACGTACCTAACAACTAATTTTTACAAAAAAAACTATGACATATATTTCGTGTTTGCAAATATTGTAATGGTTTTTTTATATATTTTATTGTCTCGAAAAACATTGGAAAAATTTCATTGTTAAAGATTAATGGTGTAGAAAAATATAGACTTTGCGTTACAAATGATTGACTTTTACACGGCCCTTAAATACATTCTATGTGTATTCAACATAATTATGTACATTATCGTAACACATTATGTAAGTTAAAAAAATTAATAAAATTAATGAATTCTGACTTTGTTAAAAATTTTGTCAACAAGGCCGTTAAGATGTTTCAGCATCAAGTGATATAAAATATAGTGAGATTTTTTTTGCAATTTTAAATTAAAGTGGCATTCATAGTTTGGGTATCAAGAAAAAATAACTCGATGAACATACATATTATGAGTTTATTGTTGAGTTAAATTGTAGTTGTTACAACCAAAGGGGCAAGAGGAGAGCGGAAGTTATCATTAAATAACGGGAAACACATATAAAGTATAACAAATGTAAAAATTATGACATCAGTCGACAGTATGAAATATAAGCATTTAACTTATCTAATAGGTATCTGATAGAATTATCGATATCTCTTAAATAAACTTCCGCGTGCGTTGACGTAAGGCGTGGGTCAGATCAGGCGACGTAAACAAAGACCAAACAAACAAACGCTTATGCATTATGTATATCCATACAGAATGCGGTTTTTTCCCATGTATTTTCGCCTATGTAAGCATCTTACTGAATGTGAACTGTCCTTTGTTTCAGACACTTCCCGTAGTCTGTACCTCCTTCATATACTGACATGGGTAATGAATATGTTCGGTATCTTCTTCATTCTGGCGGCTCACGAACACTACTCCATAGACGTGTTCATAGCCTTCTACATTACATCGAGACTTTTCCTTTACTACCACACGCTCTCAAACAACCAAGCCTTGATGCAATCTGACTCTTCCAGGTAATAAAAATATGATATATACGATGACACAATTTATATTATGTGCTAAATATTCCGATATTATCAGATTCCCACGAACATAACACTATTGATAATATTTAAGACGCATATTATAATCGTAATATGATATTTATGCGTAATATTGTGATAAATTTATCTCAGGAAACCTGTTTTTTGTTATTAAAAATAGTTCGCTTTTTATAAACAATTTTGCCGTACAAAGTCCCATTGTGTTTACTGAATGACAATATTTTGCGCAGAACTAGAATATGGTTCCCGCTGCTGTCGTTCTTCGAGTCTGAAGTGGACGGCATCGTTCCTAATGAGTACGAGGGGCCGATGGAGATCGTGATCAACTTGAAGCAGTGGCTAGTGCAGCTTGTGTTAGACGTGAAGGCGTCGTCTGTGGCCAGGGTCGCGGGCAGCAAGCTACAGGAGGGCGCCGCTATGGGAGAGTACTCGATGGTCAGACTCGTCGACGGCATCAAACGGAACATAAGCATTATGGAGGAGTATAAAAACTCACGCCAGAGACTCGCCACACTAGATAAGAACGTCCAAGCCGGCCACGACCTGCCCGAGGCCGATCTACGACACGGGAAAATAGCCGAACTCACCAACGACGCCCTCTTCAGAGATTTCAGCAAACCACCCTCACCGGCCATCAAGAAGAATATCTGAACCATATATGACATACCTCCACATCACCAAACCCTTAGGAGTTATGTAGCTCTAGTTACCTAAGCGTTTACATTTACTTTATAAATTTTATAACATGTTATTCCATATTTAAATTTAATTAAATGTGTAGAAAATAAAAATGTTTATTTGCTCAAGGTAACCATAATATAAATAATACGCTTAAAACATTTTACGTTTTGTCTTTTAATTTGTTTGACCGAGTAGTTATCACACTACTATCATAAGACAAAGGGCCTACAGTATTAAAAAGAAAAAGCTAATGACTCATAAGTAGCTTACTATGGCGGAGGTAGACTATTTTTTTTTCGTCACTAATTAATGAAACCTGTTGATATTCACCAACAGGTCGTCTCCTTTATGATACAAGTGTTCTATATATTAATGAGAAAAAAAAAATGAAGGCATAGATATAAATAGTAGTGACAACAAACTGATAATGAAACCGAGCGACGTGTTACTACGTAGGTCCTTCAAGGTTGACAAAATTATTTGAAAAATTGTCTCTTATCAGTAAGAGACATGACCTACCAAGGTCTGTTGGGTAATGATTGTTTAAAACTTATATACTCCTTTTCAATTTCAAAATTAGTCGCCGTTACTTTAGATATGCTATTACTATTTGTTAATATTTATTTAAGAATCAAACTTAGACTTCTTCTACCTGGCAATTTACCAGCTGCCGACTGCCTTATATGTTTTGAATAGTTTTGGCTAATTGTTTTTACGACCGGCCGCCTGCCTGACATCAACCCTCTTTTAGGAATGAATTAATCAGTGATGTCTAAATACTCTTAGAAAGTACATATGACTCGGAAAAATCACATTGGTACTTGCCAGGATTGAACCCACATCCTCATGCATGAGAGGGGGGCCTTTTTACCACTAGGCCAACTCTGACTTTAGAATCAAACTTAGTATCTCTTCTCAATTATAGAAAAATTTCCAAAGATTTATAGTAAGATAAAAACTATTCGTACTTTTGCTAATCTTGTCTATATATTTCACAACATCAAAGAGATATGAAATGCACAAGTGATAATATTGCAGGTAATACGACCTTTATATGAAATGGACTTTATATTTCTAGAAACTATAATCTCTGCATTATAGAGATACTCATCAGTTACTGCAATAAAATTATCAATTGAATTCATTAATCATTGCATTGAATATAATTAATTAAAACAGAGTTCATTGTTTGATATGCAATATTTTTGGCATATACATTTATTTCAATAAGATAAATTTATTGGAATGAAATTATACTTGTAATATGAACTTTTCCTGAGATTTTTTATTTAGCAACTTCATCACAAAATTGCGTTTTAAATAATATTGTATCATGTAATAAAATAAAAAAAGAATATTTTATTTTCAACTATCTAAGAGGGATGGTTAATTTTAAACATACACATAATATTTACATTACTTTATTATACTTCAAATAAAAGCTATTATTGTGTAGCATTTATAGAATTGACAAGAAAAATATTAGTAAAAAATGTCTTTAACTCATGATTATTTTTTTAATTTTATGATTAATAAATAAAAAAAAAGTAAATAAATAATTTTAGTAGATTGCTCATCAGCTCACTAGTGTATAAAATATAAAATCAGCACCTTAGACTGTACAAGTCTATGTCTATCATTAATATTAATGTCATGTTAAAACATTTCATTGAGTTTCATGGTTAATGAGCATTCAATAAACAAAAATAATAATATTTGACTCTTGCTTTAAATATGTTGATGCTTATAATTCATTTTAATACTTTAAAATAATACATGCCTTAAAGGAGATAAATATGTTCATAAACTCTTAAATTAGAGATGCATGTGACATATCTCTAATAAATAGTGAAACATTTGAATATAGGCCACTTTATAGCAACATGTAACTTAATTGACAACAATTGTCAACAAATATATTGCATTATATACATAGGCTTAGTTAAAATGCCACAAAATATGATTAATGCATATAAATAAGGCAATGACGATGAACAGTGCATGCTTAGTGCTAAATATGTGATTTGAGCTGTATTTAATAAGTGGTTTCACTAATCACTGGCAGCTATTTTTTCACTTTCAATAAGTGCTTCGGACAAATTATCTTTTTCATTAACTTGTTCCTTTTCTGCAGATTGCTCGCGGGAGGCCGCAGCTCCATTTTCATTCACACCATCATCTTTTAGAGGTGTATTTTCTTTTGAGATCACTTTAGATTCGTTTTCAGTCTCTTCGACAGGTTTCTCTTGAGATTGTTGTCTAACTGGAGATGGTTCCTTATCTATTGTTTTGTCCTCTACTGAATTTTCCTCAACATCGTTACTGCTATTATTGGCGTCAGCATCGGCCGGCTGTGTTGTAGATTCAGCAGTCAAATTATCCATTTTTTCCTCATCTTTTGATTCATTCTGATCTTCATTTTGTTGGATCACTCCATTTACAGCATTGGTCTGCAAAATAGCACAAATATATAGACGACGAAACTTCTCAGCATTCCATGGATTCACCGTGCGGGTGCCGGGTCCATCGCGTTGCAGGGGGAGGAGCTTCAACAGTGCCTGGGACTTGCGACCCAAGTGTAGGTTTAAGGGGCCCCTTAACTAACGCGCGTTATACGCTCACCTCCACTGTCCAAGCTCCTCTCCCTACCTAACCAAATTTGAAAAGAACCTACTAGGGCTGCCTTCGATGTACGTTCCAAGAATGCATTAATGTGAGTTCTGGACAAGCCTAAGTCCTTTAGTAGGTTATAGAGAGATTTCGCTGTTATACCTCTCGCTCCCACCTCTACCGCGTACAAATCTACTACGAACCTATTTCGAGTGAGTTCGTTTGTGAGCTCGTAATATTTGTTGACCTTGATGGTATGGTCTTTGGGGATGTTGGTTTCCCAAGGGACCGTAAGCTCTATCTATATAAGTTAAAGAGACAAAACGAAAAATATTTTCCTCATATAATAATTATAGTACTTTATTATCAATCATTATTTTAATACCTTTTCTTGTGCTGGTGCTACTTCTGGTGGAACTTCAACTTTTAAAAACTGTTCCAAAGTATCAACTTCATTTGCCAAATCGAATTGATCATAATCCTGAAATATATGATTTGTATACATTATATTAATGTTTTTGTAATCTCAATAATAATTTTGAAAATATTAAACAATCACACTTTTTATTACCAATATAAAAATTAGTTAAAAGTGTATTTTGATATAGAAGGTTTTTTGAGGACATATTTAAATGCTTTGCACTTATAATATCACAAAATAATTTATATAATGTTAAATGTTACACTCGCAAGATTATATGATAAGACCGTATCAGAATCTTGTTTATTATGATAATAAGTTGAGTAATTATAAATCTGCGGTAACACTTACTCCACAATATTCGTCATCGTTAAAGAGCTGCGGCGGGAGTGGCGAGCGAGGGTTGGGATCGCTGACGGTTCCTCCATTCGACTTAGAATTGTTTTGCATAAAATCTTTATCGTCTTCACGCCCGGGTTCCGTTATGTCAATAATTTCATATTTAATGTTTTTTGAATCTAGTATCATTAATACACGTTGTTGTCTCTTTTTTACCTATAAATAGTAAAGTAAAAAGTTCAAAACAAATGTTACTATGAATCAGATCTGAAAAAAGGTCTAGAACCGTAACAAGTCGACCCAGGAATTTCTAATATTAAACATACCTCCTTGTTTCCGGAAATACCACTGATGTATACTTTGACTACCATTTTTATATAATATATCTAATGTTTAAAAATAACAGTTAAATGTTCTTGTAAATTTTTAACTCCGATATATAGGCTTGGCCATTAGACACTCGGTTGACTGTTGTAATAATAATAATTACTCAGCGCAGTTGTCAAATAAATGTCATTATAATGTTGCACTATCAAAAAATATTCTCGAACTAAACTACAATTTGTTAAAGTGTTCAAATATTTTGTGTCAATATAGCAATATTCCTTCAAAAAACAAAATAACCATGTGTGTCATTTGACAACAACTACTTTATACATATGATGAACATTTTTAAGTGATATTTGAGCCAATAAGGAATTTGAAGGATTCATTCCTTTTTGCTACGGAACATTTTGACACAAAAAAGAATTTTCTGATGATAAAATGTGTTAGTTAAGTAGGAATTTTTTTTTTTACCTTTTCTTGTATTATTCGTTTTTTTCTTGAATTATTAAAATGTATTTAAAACAACAGATAATACGAAGCTTTGGAGCACGAAGAATCTATTATCAAAATCTGGATAATCTTTTCAATTTGCTTTTACATAAAATTCTCGTAACTAATTGTTGATTGTTCTACATACGCTTATGTTATGAATATAGGTAGACAAGCCAATTATTTCAAACAAATATTTCACTTTCCTTTCGTCAAAAGTGTTAAAATCTTAGTGGCAAATTTCCAAACATCAACAGATGTTAAGACTGTTTTTATTGTTATCTGATAAAAAATACCAAAGACCATATTCTTTATTTTCTTAATGCTTACCGAACACTTAGGTATATTGTTTGAACAGTAAATTTGTTTCCAGTTAAGCTTATTCCTTATTTTTACAAACACAATTTAATAGAATCAAAAACAAATTCTAAGGCTTTAAAACTTAAAATACATGTCGCAAACTTTATGATTTACTTTTTGCGTGGGTTCTGACGAATTTTTCGTTACGCACCATTAAAGCAACTGTCGACAATACATAGTTGATCGGGCCAAAAATACAAACTTATGATAACTATTAGTTCATTTTGTTTTTAGAAACACGAAAATAACAAAAATACGACTTTCTAATTGTCTTATCTTCGTTTAAATTATAAGTCAATCTAATACGCTTGTAGATAATATTTTGCTAACTATGTGGCAATATAATCTAACTTTACAAAATAATTGTTTTATCAGCCATTAGAAGAAACGTGTTTTTATTTAATTTAATTTTTATTAATTCTATACTTATCAGCCATACTCATTATACCTTCGTATAAGTGCTTATAAATTGTAGAATGGCTATCAAAAGTGAAAAATGTTTACTCGAGTAGACCATTGAAATAGTTCATGAGCATCAATTCGTACCAAAAATTCGACAGTTGGTAAACATTAACAATTAGTCAACATACATGGCAAGCTGCCACAAAATAAATAAGATAATTAATTTTATAACAAACTTAAAGAGCTCCATTTGTTTTGAATTCAAATATGAGCGTGTCCATGTTCGAGAGGTATCTAATGTGGAAATATAAATTGGTTGAATGGGTTAACTATCAATACATGACTATAAAAAATTTTAATTACTCTTTAGCACGTCCAAATGTTTAGAGTTCTTATATGAACTTGAGGGTAGATTAGGTAACATTTTTTACACGTGCCTCCATTGTCAGTTTCCAGTGTGTCTCCGAATAAATAGCCCTGCTTCTATTTACCTATGTGCTATTGGTACAAACAAATTTTATTCAATACTAAGAACAAACGAAATATTTAGCAATTATATTAGCTATAAGAAAAAATAGAAACTTATGGACAAAACAATTTTGAAGAGCACTGCTGAAACTTAAAAGTCATTGACGTCTGACCTATAGCAACAAAAGTTTTTTAGTATTCTTCTTATGATGTCTTTTTTTATTTCGCAGAATGTTTTGGCAGATAAACTTACCGTAGTTTAAAAATTCCGCTGTATCCAAGGAGTGATGATAAATAAAAACATAGGTCTCGGAAGCTACGAGGGCAATTTACATCATTTATTGAAGACAATAATGAATATAAAAAATATATATAATAAATATAAATTACAGCACAATCATATAAATAAAATCTACTAAGCCGATAAATGATAAAACTTTATTAATAAATAAAATACTAAATTATCACAAAATTTTATTTTCTAGTGTAGGACGATAAAAATGTCCGGTTTCTAGGAATGTTACATGAAGATCTCTCAAATATCACAGCACGTGTGTGCCAGCGTCAGCCGATGATAAAACAAATTATACTTTAAGTTTTAGGAAGAATTCATCAAATCTAATGACAAAGTGGTTCAAATTATAGATTTATTATTTAATATGCCCCAATACATCACAACACGGCATAAAATGACGTGATTTATCATAAAAATGTATATTTATTCAATGGCATAACATAAATGATTTTGCCAAAAAGGGATCACGGAGTTATTGTTCTGTATACTTGGTTACTATTTAAATATCACAAACTAGAGAACATGAGCAACAAATCAAGGCTACGTTACGATTCTTTAATATGTTTCAAGATTATTCTGGAACAAAAGAATCTCTTAAATTATTATTATAACCATATTGTCTGGATGTACCGACACAGTTTTATCGAAAGGCAACATCTGTATAACTAATGGTAATTATCGTTCAACTTATTTTATACTTATATTCGGAGACTTTACAACCAATAATTTGATAACCTAATTTATTAATTGAAGCAACTAGCAATCGACTAATCGACTTAAGCATACGATACTTTGTCTCTCTGCTTATTTTAAGTGTCAAATATCGTAGGAATCACTCTAACTGTATTATATTTTAATCGTCGGCGATACAAAATGCGATTTAGCTAATTAACTCACATATTAAAGCTAACATTACGTGTAAGCGACCGGCGGCTCGTACTCTGTTCGGGGCCCGTAAAGCAGTTTCTAATGATCTCGCTCTTAATTTTGTTATTGTGCGACATTAAACGGTGCTGACAATTAATTGAAAACCGTGTCCCTTCGAAAAACCGTAATGATATTAGTCGACGACTCCAAGCCTCCCTTCTGTAGCACAACCGAGCATAAAAAAAGTAAAACGAGAGAGACGGACAGATGTTGCCGTCTCACTCACACAGGAGTGCCAAAGTCAGGGTCTCCGCGGCCCGGCAGCAGGCGCGGCCCGGGCGGCTGAGGGTGAGGGTGTGACTGTGTGTGAGGGTGCGAGTCGTGAGGGTGTCGCTCCACCTCTCCGTTCCTTATCCCACTCTCAGTGACGCGGCGCGCTGAACCTATCCTGTATAAGACCATAATCAGAATTTTTATATCTTTATATATGTAATTCTTCTGTGAGTGTGTATGTCACTGAACTTCTCTCAAACAACTGGACCGACTTTGATGAAATTTTTTGTGTGTGTTCAAGGGGATCTGGGAATGGTTTAGATTCACAATTTTGTCCTCTGGACAATATTTTTTAAATTAATTTTTAATTTATTAGTAGTTGTTGATATAAACGTTTTTTTTGACATTAGATTTGACAACTAACTTATATGTCAATCATTCTGTCACACTTCAAAACACGGAAATTTATGGCTTTAATATGTAAACTCCAAAAATATAAATAAAAACGTAACAGATATTTCTTGATTATAGGGCGATACGAAGTTCGACGGGTCTTCTAGTATCCAATAAAATATTTACATAGTTAATATAAAAAAATAATTATCTTTTACAATACAAGTGTATATATTACCGGAAGCTTTTCACCTCTCTCCTCTGTCTGTCACCGTTCACTCTGGCCTTATGACGCTCGTGGGCTGGCGTCTGTGTGTCGTTGAGCGTCGTTTGTTTCGGGACTGATGACGTCACAGCCTTCAGTTCACTATTATTAGGCGACACGTTAGTCGTCGATGATATGTTGGACAGAGACGACGTGTTGTCGTTGATCAGGTCGTCGGAGAGAGCCGCGTTGTTCATGGGTGGTATGTTATTGTTGGTGGATGGTGGTAGGTCGTTGATGGTGACGGTGGGGTCGGCGGCGGTCGTCACGTGTGTGACGTCAGCAACACCGCATGAGGTGTCACCGACAGGCGTCTCTATAGGCTGGTATTCAGACTTGGACTGGTAGAAATCTTGAGAGGCTGAACAAAATGATAGATAAATTAATAAATAATTAATTAAATGACCAAAACTTGATCATACAGTAATATGAAGTAATACGTACGAATACTCTGGTAATGTCGAGGAGTGTCGCGCGTGTCGTCTGACGATTGTGCGTCCGATACGGCACAGTACGCCCCCTTAGTACGCCAGTCCTTTATAAAACAAAAAATATCTTATAATTAGGTTCAGTGGACGCTGGTTTTTTAATAAAACATTTGTTTACTTTCTTTTATACACCACAAATGTATAGCGCCCCAAACGCAGGAAATTTCGAATCTTACACCTAAACAGTTAAATATCTCTAGAATTTTTGGTAGTTGAAGAGTTTACACCCTATTTTCTTCATTTCGAAAGAGAAACTGGCGTATTGTACACAAATTATAAACAAAAAGCTTCAGACTTATTCGAAATCGTAATTCAAATTTAGAACTCGTGTGATCCTCAACAACAATAATTGGTTATTCTCTTTAATCCAAGGAGTATTTTGCTTAAAAGGTTCTTAATTAATTTAAGGTGAAAAAAAATTAGATTTATAAATTACTGATATATTTTATAATTTTTGTTTGTAATTTTTGCAATTTTTTATCTAATACAGAATGAGCTCTCGCACATAATTTTAAGAGCAGTATTTATATTTTGTATTATTTTCAACTACTATGTATTATCGACTAGACAATATCGAGTTATTTTATTATACCTTATTCAACGAACGCTTAAATAAATTATTAATTGTTTTAGGGTTATCAGCATAAAGTATATTACATATTAATACTGTGAGCCGGAACGGTAATACTCCTTAGTTTTTATTAGATAATATTGGAAATTTAAACAAAATCCGTGATACTACTGACATTTTTGTGGACAATATCATTACATACAGTTTTCACTGTCTAATACTATTAACAAAATAACATATAACTGGTTCTATTTCTTTTTGGTTTTGGGTAAGTTATTTTATGATACTGGTGGGAATAGTTATCATAGTCACGTATTTGTGGGTTTACTTTTCTTGACTGCGGTCCACCTTTGACAGACGTACGTATTAATAATGATCAGGTATATATTTAGAACTCTATCATAATATGATCAAGTCTAGTGACTTGGATGGTATTCGAACCATAGTGTTTAAGAAAATTTCATAAGAGTTTTTATTCTGTTCTGACATGATTGTACCGCGTCTCTTTAGTGACTAGTATTGATAAGCCAAATCTTTGAAGCTTGCAAAATCTGGTAGTCGTATCTAAAATGAAAAGCCACGTAGACCCTGCTTATTTTTGTCCAATTCAAATTTCCTCATTAACCTAACAGATTAAATATAATGACGTACAACTCCTGGCATACCTAGAAAGCATTAACCTCTTTGGGAACCAACAATATGGGTTTCATTGAAAAGGGTCAACTAGAGATTTTTTTCGTACTACACGTCGTCATCGGCCTATCAGAGCCCGCTGCTGAGCAAATGCCTCTTCTCACGTAGAAAAGATTTGAGCAATTATCATCACGCTTGCTCAAGACGGGTTGGTGATTTCAAACTTATAATTGTGAAATTATCCCGTATCACTGAACGTTTCCAAAGCTTTCGACACCCTTATTAGTTAGTTATTATCTAGGGCATAATTAATGGCGTGATTGTCTGAATTTTTGCCTTTCTATAAGTCTGTGCTTTTTAGCGGTTGTTAATGGTGGCTCGAATAACATTTAGGGTTCACCGCAGAGGTTTTTCAGTGGTCTGTCTCAATAAATCTATTTTTGATGCACATTAATGTTCTGCTATAACCGAATGGTTTTGGAGATACTCAGATGAAAGTAGTAGAGGGATATCACTTCAACTCTGAGTACAGTCGAAATAAAATTATGTTGGAAAGAGGGGTAATAGTAAAGCGTGTTAATTTCTTATTTCACACTTTCAGCCGTTTGCCAGTGGGGCGATACAGAGCTAGTAAATTTTAACGCTACCAAAGAACAAGATGATATGTATATTGATTTTCAAGTACACTGTGTCTACAAGGAAGCTCGGTATTCTTACGAAAGTACACCCGTTACTTGTGGTGTACTTATGTAAACATACTCTTGTAAACCCCGAGGTAGCCGCTTTGTTTTTAGATAGCGTAGGTCGGGTCGTTGGAAGTATTACTGTCAAACATGAAGCAGGATTTTCCAAGTCATTTCACCGCTTTGAAGTCCGTAAAAAGGCGCAAAATAAAAAACTTATTAGCGATCACGATTTGGTTTTAACCATTCAAATCAGCTTTGAACTCACGCCGTAAAACAATAATACTCAGTATTTTATCCAATACACTTTGGAGATTATGTGCAGGCATTGCATGTTTTAATTCTTGCGTCCCCTTTCACGTACCTCAGTAATTTCGTTTCGTTCAATATTCACTGAATCCTAAAGTAACGATAAGCTTTCTGTTTCTTTTTTCTTTTTCTTTTTATTTCTTTTGGCGTTCAGGGAGGAGGGGGGGATTAATATTAATTGATATTAATATACAAAACTAATATCAACTGCCCTCGAGAAATAGCCACCCGAAGAATTGCTCCGTTATTTTATATTCCTACAGTTAAAACATATTACGCTCAAAACTCATTTATCAATAGAGTTTGTGTAAAATATAATGAAGGTTTTAGTTATATTGATATGTTTAATGTTTCCTTACAGTTATTTAAAAAATGTTGTTTGAAACCCAAAAATAAATTTTCCTAGTTTATTACTTAATATGTATTCCTTTTCCATAAGTAAGATAACAATGCGACGTTTCGTTGATTTTTATAATTATTGTATTTGTTTGTTTTTTTTTTAATTTGTGGCAGCTTCATTGGTGTATGTTTTTGTAATTTTATTTATAATTTAAGTGTATTGTGAACTGTTTGTGCCTTAATAAAGCAAAATAAAATAAAATATTCTTTATGGCAAAAATAACTATGCTATTATTGAGACAGTAAGTTTGCCGACTTCATATTCTCCTATCTAGTGAGATGATAGTCAATAATAGTCCAGTTGGTATAAAATAAATATTATAACAAAAATAGCGATATTTTGGATATTTTTATATCCTAACTGTTAAAGACTTAAATGTTTTACAAATAAGGGCATCCGTCATATAAATAATAAATACATATAATGCCTTAGTGACCTTACATATACCATGTTATTAAATAAATTTCATATCAAATTCTTTTTTCTTTTTTATCAAAAACTTTGTGTATGGTTCATTTAGGTGTTTTAGTATAGCGCCATCATCTGTGACTTTATTTACATTATTATTAAACGAAATCCTTGTTAAATATTCTCCAATTTTACTCATCATTCTATATAAGGTTGTTTGATGTGCATATTTATATTGTGATGAATAATATATAAAGATATATGTACCTGTGGTTTTCTCTTCTTCTTAGCGGCGACCCTCGAGTGTACCGGCGTGGAGCGGGACGATGGCAGTGATGACGGACGACCGGACATCTGAACAACAACATACAATTAATTATTAGAAATATCGTGACTAGTCATTGACAAGTCAGTGGTGGCCTAGTGACTAAGTCCCGCCTCTAATTCACGAGGACACGGGTTACTGGCCCAGGCAAGTACCAATGTGATTTTTCCGAGTCATATGTACTTTCTAAAAATATTTAGACATCACTGATTAATGCATTGCAGGGTTGATGTCAGGCAGGCGGCCGGTCGTAAAAACAATTAGCCAAAACTATTCTCAACATGTAAGGCAGGCCCTGGCTAAACTGGGAAATTGCCAGGCAGAAGAAGATGATCGTGACTAGTGATTGTTAGTCACGTGACCCCGTGACGTCACCTCGAGTCTTGCTATCTTGATGGAGTCATCGTCCATGTCTAGTATAGAGAGGTTGTTGATGTTGTAGTCGGTGTAGGAGCCGGCAGCTTCACCGCTTCCCTGCACCGGCATGTCCTGCTCGTCCTCACTACACGACACACTGCTGCAATATAATACACGTTATAAAACAACAGTACCTTTACTTAGCATTATAGTGAGGTTACTATCATTTTAAGATTGTTTAAATACAAAATTAAATACAAATAACGAATGTACGATTAAAAATTCATATATCGAACTGGTATCGTTTCTGTCATTTAATATTTGTAAATAAACAGGAAGAAAACCGAGCAAAATTAGTAGTTTCTTTGTTAGTCATTATAGTTATTTAGTATGTCAATCGTTCTGACCGTGTGTAGTCAGGTGTCCGTGGCGCGGTGGGCGTGGCCGCGTCCCCTTCCACTGCGTCGTCCCCAAAGCCATCTTCTTCAGGATACAGCGCGAACCTGAGACACACATACACACACATTTACTAACATCTCATGAACGATAGAACTTTAGTTGATCACTGTATATATGATCATATGTTTACAAGGTAATTCTTCATTAATCTTTATGACATTAATTATGATAATTTTTCGTTTTATTAACGGTCTTCGTTATTTACTTATTTTAAATATAACATTTGGCCTTTTATATTTATTTTAAATCAAACAAAACAAATTACTTAATTTTATGTTGTATCTTACTCCACAAAATCTGCATTCTTACGAAAAAAAAACTGACTACCATTAGTGGAAATAACCATTAGTGAAAAATTATCTATAACAAATGTATCAATACTTCTTTTCTTACGAGCCACCGTTTCTGAGATATAACGATTCAAAAAGTTATAAAAGTTGTTATCGTCATAATATGCATGAGTACGACACGTATATATGTACATCTAGAGTTCTTATATTTTATATATATAACAGTCAGTGGTTAAAAGGTAGTGGTTAAAAGGCCCGCCTCTCATGCACGAGGGTGCGGGTTCGATCCTGGCCCGGGCAAGTACCAATGTGATTTTCCCGAGTTATATGTACTTTCTAAGAGTATTTAGACATCACTGATTAATGCTGATTCCCAAAGAGGATTGATGTCAGGCAGGAGTCCAGTCGTAAAAACAAATAGCCAAAATTATTCACAACATGTAAGGCAGATCCTGGCTATAGCTGGGAAATTGGCAGGTAGAAGAAGAAGATTTATATATATAAATATTGATTTATTTGTGTAAACTTTTACCTGAAAGCGAAGTTGTTACTGTTGAACGCGGTATTAATTAATGCAAGTATCGAAAGAGCTTATGATTTTTTGAAATATCTCAAAAATCAGAAATCTGTGAGAATATATGAAAATTACCGTAAAAATTATACTCGAAAGTCTTCTTTATCTGCTGCTAATAAAAGACAATGTGAAGAACAAGAAGTCAGCACATCCACAGCAAGTCCTCCTCGTACTACATCAATTATCAGTGAATCAGCTTTTTCTTTCAAAGAACTATGCTTATTTTGTAGCGAGAAATTAAATGAAGAGAGTGAAAGAAGAAAATCCCCAGATTTTCAGTGTCTAATCAGCTGATTGTTATACAGGGTGACTGGTGAATTACTATCGATATTTGAGGACGTGATATTTGACGATCATATATGACAAAATAAAAATTAATATAACATAAATATTAATAAACTTCTGAGTAAAGTTAACCAAAAGTTATGTAATTAATTACGCATCGTGTGAACACCCTACAGATTAGGTATACACACACACACACACATACGCGTGCGGCGGCGTAGTGTTGTATCAGCACGCCGTCGCACGCGTCCACACATGGAACACTTGGAACGTGTCAACACTTTATTTATGTATACGGAAATTTGGTCAAAAATTAAGTACCTATTTTTTTTACATAATTCGAATGAGAATCATGTACCGAGTATTCTCCTTAAATATTGATAGTAATTCACCAGTCACCCTGTATATATTTTATAAAACTAGAAGACCCGGCAAACTTCGTATCGCTCTATAATCAAGAAATATCTGTTACGTTTTTTATTTATATTTTTGGGGTTTACCTTTAGGCCATAAATCTCCATGTTTTGAAGTGCGACAGAATGATTGACATATTAGTTACTTGTCAAATCTATTGAAAAAAAAAACGTTTGTATGGGAAATAGAAAAGGGCTGTTTGTAGGGTTTTCCCGGAAATGAATCAATTTTGTTCAGTTTTAAACCTAAACCTCCCTAAACCTCCACGAGCATTTCAAGACTAAGATAAGATAAATCCGTTCAGCCATTCTCGAGTTTTAGTGAGACTAAAGAACAGCAATTCATTTTTATATATAAAGATTAAAAAAACATTGTCCAGCGGACAAAATTGTGAATTTAAACCATTCCCAGATCCCCTTGAACACACACAAAAAATTTCAAGTCCAGTCGTTTGAGAGAAGTTCAGTGACATACACACTCACAGAAGAATTATATATATAAAGATACAACAACTCTAGATGTATATACGTGTCATGCTCATGCATATTATGATGATAACAACTTTTATAACTTTTTGAATCGTTATATCTCCGAAACGGTGTCTCGTGAGAATAAAAATACTGATATATTTTTATAGATAATTTAATGGTCTACAATATTAGTCTGAGGTATGTTTCTGATAAAACTTACCGTTTTGCTGAAAATCGCGATAAACTCTTTTTTTTGACATTTGACCTTGAATAAAATTTTTTCCACACAAGGGAATGATGGGGAATTTTTAGCTATTGTTTATAATCGTATTTTGAACAATTGTACCGAAATTCAGCTTGTTGCGAATTTATGTAGCACCGAATGTCTAATTTGACCGGACTATACTTAAATCCTACTAATATTATAATTGGAAAAAATTGAGAGTGTGTGTATGTTTGTTACTTCTTCACGCTCAAACGGCTGAACCGATATTGATAAAATTTTGTACACAGGAAGCTGACGTCCAGGGATAACACATAGGCTACTTTACAACCCGGAAATCTGCGGGTAACACCGCTGGGCGCAGCTAGTAATAATATATTTAATCTCTGGCATTATTTAAGTATGTATATGATTGTTATATGAAGATCAACCTGTAGTTGTCGTCTGAAAGCCGGTCTTCATCGTCAGTAGCTATAAACTGTACACACAGGGCACAGTCACCCTTCACACTCTGGAGCGCCTCCACCGCCTCCTTGTGACAAGCCTGGCGAACAAATGTATATACAAAAATATTGAACAAATACAGCTCATAACGTTCTATTAAGATTGAAATTATATCACAGTTATTTAAAAAAATTTTGTTTGAAACCCAAAAAAATTTTCTTAGTTTATTACTTAATATGTATTCCTTTTTCCGTAAGTAAGATAACAATGTGACGTTTGTTGATTTTTATAACTATTGTATTTCTTTGTTTTTTATTTGTGGCAGCTTCATTGGTGTATGTTTTTGTAATTTTTATGTATAATTTAAGTGTATTATGAACTGTTTGTGCTTTAATAAAGCAAAATAATAAAATAATAAACAATAGAAAAAATCCACTCTACCTCTTGAACAGTTATTGATTATATTATTAAGGAGGTTTTTATAAGTAATATATTTAGTTAATGACAGGATTGTTTCAATAATCTCTTTACTTAACAGAAGCTTTAGTTTAGTTTATATTTCAATAAGCAACATAGAATATTTCAGTACTGTAGTTAATTCACACATCCTACTATTATATCTAGCATAGCGTCTTTTAAATATATTTTCTATACCTGTGTGAGGTCAACATCATTGATGGCTAGTATCGCGTCCCCTACATACAGGTCCCCGGTTAGCGCGGCAGGTCCGCCAGCCTCTAGCTCCGAGATCAATATAGGAACGCCATGCTCACGACCACCCTGTATATAGATATTATTTAAAGTTTTTTTAACTACCTGTATACCATGTTAGTTTTTTTTTATCATTGGATTTCAATAAAAAAAACAGCGAACAGCGCCATCTCGAGTCATCATGACTTAAATTCTCATAAAATGTATTTTTTATGCCACGTTTCTGTGAGTTCATTAATTATATCGTATTTATTATTCATACGAATGTCAACGAAATTTCTTAATGGAGTTTTTGACACAAAAATTTAATTAACACGTTTTACAATTGATGTCAATGTTATTATTCCTCTACAACCTACATCATAGTAATGTAATGGCACGTACAGTAACAGAGATCCCTAGTCCGAGGTGCGGCGAGCGTCGCACGCGCACGGTCCGCGGCGCGTGTGCGGGTGGCGCGGGGGGTGCGGGGGTAGTGCGCGCTGGAGGGGGCAGCGTCCGGCGGGGGGTGAGGCCGCGACACACGCGGACCAGGGTCTTGTGACGTTGGAGGAGGATCTCCGCCTCCACCTGGAATAGCACACAAGGGGGATTATATGTAAGAATAAGGTCGGAAGAAAATCTAATGAACAAAACTATAGAGGTCTATTTATAATAGCCTCCTTGATAAGAACTTTTTATACATTTACATATAAATACTAGAAGACCCGGCGAACTTCGTATCGCCCTATAATCAAGAAATATCTGTAACTTTTTTTTTTATATTTTTGGAGTTTACCTTTTAAAGCCATAAATCTTCGTGTTTTGAAGTGCGACAGAATGATTGACATATTAGTTAGTTGTCAAATCTAATGTAAAAAAAAAACGTTTTTATCAATAACTACTAAAAATTAAAAATTAATAAAAAAAAAAATTGTCCAGTGGACAAAATTGTGAATCTAAACCATTCCCAGATCCTCTAGAACACTCACAAAAAATTTCATCAAAATCGGTCCAGTCGTTTGAGAGAAGTTCAGTGACATACACACACTCACAGAAGAATTATATCTGTATTTTTTTTTATGGGAAAAGGGGGCAACCGAGCAGACGGCCTACTTGATGGGAGATAGTTACCGTCGCCCATAGACATCCGCAACGTCGATTTGCGGTTGTGTTGCCGCCCTTCATTAGGGAAAAGGGGGAGGAAAAGGTGGGAAAGGGAGGAAAAGGAAAGGGTGGGAAAAGGGAAAGGGCAACCGGCTCTCTCACTCACCGGACGAAACGCAGTCTTGTAAAGACTACTTTACGTCGATTTTCTGTGAGAGGGTGTTACTTCCCCGGTCGAGCCAGCCCATGTATAATATAAAGATATTAAAACACCAACCTGGGCCCACAACGAGTCCCTGAGCTCGGCGCGCATTTCACTACCTAACAGTTGTAATTGTTGTATTCTACCCGCTAGTTCTTTATCGAGGTATTTAGTTGCTAGTCTGGAATGAGAAATTTAGTGTTAATGTAATCACATTCAAAATAATTTTTATTTTTTCTTACATTATTTTATATTTCTATAACTATACAGGGTGACTGGTGAATTACTATCAATATTTAAGGAGAATACTCGGTACATGATTCTCATGCGTAATTAATTACACAACTTTTGGTTAACTTTACTTAGAAGTTTATTAATATTTATGTTATATTAATTTTTATTTTGTCATATATGATCGTCAAATATCACGTCCTCAAATATCGATAGTAATTCACCAGTCACCCTGTATATCGACCAAGTCGTACCTAGCTCCGAATAGTTCCGAGTGTAAGGCGAGCACAGTTTCTCTGAGTGCAGCGTTTTCCCTGGCGAGCTGTGCGGCTTCGGCCCTCGCTCTCGCAGCCTCGGGCGCTCCACCCGCCGCGTCCCCGCCCGCCTGCCAGGCGCCTGCAAACACAATCATAAACCAAAAATTAATATACATCATTAAATAGAACACGACACGGACTCTATACAGAGGAAAAAATTGGATCAAAGCCAAATAGACTCGAATAACAGATAACAATCTTTTGTTATATATAAAAGCATTATAAAGCTTACCTGCGGCCCGAGCTTGAACCAATTCCGCTCGCATGTCGACAAGCTCGGCCTGGAAAATAAAATAGTAACATGAAACTAGTGCGTAAAAGAATGGTACAGTGTACACGAAACGGATGTATGGAATGTCAAAAATAGAACACCCCTCACATTTATACAATGAATGTATCTAATCTTAAAATGAAATCGATGGCGGCGTAAATCCGAATTAACGGGGACAGATGGCGTACAAGACACGATGCACGCGTCGCACGAGCCGCACGCGCACATAAATCGTTTGACCCCTAACACCTCGTACAAACGTTTACGCCTACAACCCTCATAGATTAAAACAATTATAGGTGGATGCAGAACACATTACGCTGTCCGTTGATATATTTTATTACATCAGTCAATTTATCACCCTTCAATATACGTGATTCAATATCACTGACAGTAGAGCTTGTTGGCATGTGCGGGCAAACGTTTGTATCAATACAATTAATTAGAGTTGTGTCAAAAGTTTTACAAGCGAGTTACGTGGTCGGACAATTAGTCAATTGCATAAAGTAATTTGTACAGCTTTAAACTTCGATAAACATTTTTATTCATAACATTTGGACGATTACATTTACATTGTATAACATGTTATCTAACTTAAGGTTTCACTTTGATTAGAAATTAAATAGGGATTAGTTAGTTCAATTGATATAACAGAATGTATTGTGGGATATTATATAATGTGTTATAAGTGTGATTGTATTAAAGGTGTAAATATATACAAAGATTACAATTTGAAACATACGATGCTGTCATTGTTTTTCATAGTCGATTTCACATCAATATATTTTCTACGAACAAAGACTTGAACGAATCAAAGAGAAAATATTACTTATGATTAAAACAACATTGTGATAACCCATTCGTATTAACCAAGTTTCACCCAAAATTAAATTTCGAAACGAATTCCTAGTGTAGGAAGATGTGACAATAACCATTGAAAAGTTCTGTTTACGTAATAAAGTACGTATTATGCAATAGTGTGTAAGTATAAAATTAATAAAAGACTTAAAAAGCGTCGATATATTACTGTTATTTTCAATAATACACTGATACAGCCTACACTGATTTCAAGATCATTATCGTCTTCACGTACAGTGGGCGTATGTTTTAACGGTCGATTGTGAATATAATAACAAGAGGGAATCTTTTCAATGAGGAATCTCATATTGTGAAAGCAATGCATTTGATGAACAGTCAAAAAGACAATCGACAAGCGTTGTCACGATGAAGTATCTAATGAGCAAATAGCATTAAAACTATCGATGCTTTGATGTGACGACAAATTAATTCACGGACATTTGTTACACCTGAAACGAAACATTGGATTGGGATCGATCTGATGAAAGGGTCATCTCCGCGAGGTGATTGAAGTAAAGCTTTCTCAATTCACTTTACTTGAGAGCTGATTTGAGATAACGTCGAAAGCCTCGACGATTGATTTACAATACGATATAATTCGTAGACGAACCCGATTGTGTCGAAGCACGTGCCGAATGTTGCTAACCAAATAAGAATTCAGTGTGATTCAATTTATTTTAACCAAAGCCTATAAATCGTTTGCTTGTGTCGGCAGTTAAGTAAGAGATGTAATTTGAGAGGCATTTATAAAGCAGCTCGCTTAGCCGTCCCGTTTACCTAATCTTTTATATCTCTGGGCGACGTGCCACACAAGTTGATTCCTAAATACACGATACGTTTAGTATGTAGGTATTTATAAACAATTTACTATTTCAAAGAGATAATATAATAATATAGCTTTTCTGTTTGTACATGTGATAGCGTTAGTAATTAGGCGGTGCTTTGTCTGTATGTTTGAATACAATGTTGTACCTCTTCATTTACATAAGTCCGCAGCGCTCCGTCGCGAGGCACGATTGTCCTCTTCCTTTTAACTTTTTGTCACTCAGTATGCAAACACTTGTCTCTATGCTAACTGTTTCTAGAAATTTTAAGGGCAACAAAGGTTAATTACTTGAAAGTATTACGTTCAAATTGTATCCGTAGAATGTTCATGTTACTAAAGATTATTGAATTTCTTATCAATTTTCATATTACATAGTATACAGCGTATATTTATCAACTATAAAATGTTACTAGGAATACTACGCTCCATAGAAGTGCGTACTCGAATCTTATGCAACACGCCCAACATGAATCTTCGATTACACGCTGGTAAAGATGCAACGATGATCGTAAAATTTATTTAATATTTAACTCTATCTGAATTTAACGATCGATTTGAGAGTATATTGAATCGATACCAAATATCCAATGAGGGCATACAATAGAAAGGCGTACGAGGAACAGCACCACCCAACAACCTAACGGACATCGACACAGTCAGGCTGAGAACACAGCGGGAGCTCATTTGCTTAACACTGTCTTATTCCAGTCATACATTGAAAAGAGCCGCTTTCAACTAAGATTTACCGGATGCGTTTGAATTGTTTATAAACGATAATATAACATCCTTAACTTAGTCACGGTCATATACTTAACTAAAATGGTTGCTGTCTCAAAGAAAACACCACGGTAGAATAATTGTGTGATTTACACAACACACGGGTAAACAAATTGCTCAAGGGAACAGTGAGTCTTCAATAGAAAATACATGACTTATGTATTGTCTATAATATACTAAACACATATAACTAAAGTCGCTTCTGTATGACTTATATTGAAGTCAATCTAAGTCATTCAATCCAGTCAATGAATACATTTATGAAATTTCATTATTACAAAGTTCTTTAAGTATAAAAGTTATGTAAAGGAAATCTGTTAATAAATACGGAATTTTTATAGATTAGTTGTATGAATTAGATTAATATCTATTCAAATTAAATAAACAAAACTAAACCGTCAATTGATTGTATATAAATTTTATTTTTAATTTATTAAATAATTTATGGCACACGAAATAGTGGCCTAAATTCCATAGGTGCATTTAACTGCATAGTAAATTATACCGCAGTCATAAGGTATACCTATTTCCGAGTCATATATATTTTTTGAATTTCCCAATAACGAAAGGTTATAATTTTGTATGTATAATTTAATATTTGAAGAGTAATTTCTAGATGTTATATGGTGACAAGCTTACAATCGCATTCGGTGCAGTTTGACCCGCGTTCGTATTTAACCTAGGGTCAACTAGATTTATTGCCGACCTATTTATTTAGGACCCAACAATTCGGATCTAAGGCTGTACAGTTCAACTTTAACATTTTAACTCAATGTATCATTGTTAAAATGTAAACAACTTTAAGTTAAACTGTACACGTTATGTTGACAGACTGTTTATAGATGCGCAAGTGTGAAATTTAGAGATGGGAATAGCGAAGTGCTCCGTCATATCATTACTATCACCTTCACACCTGGCTATCGGTAATGCGAAAATGCATGCGTCGTCTGAACGTCTGCCTCGCCGACAGATTCTTAGAACTACATGCGATGCATACAATGGACGTCGCATGACGACATGCAAAAGTAATGCATTCCAATAAAAGGCGGCTATCAAATTACAGATACAAAATTCCTGTTAAACTAACTTACTTATCTTATAAATTGAGCTGTTCGTTACTTTGAAATACCAATATATTTTTTTTAAATATTTAAAAATATAGATGTTTGAAATATAAATTTAATATTTCATAGAAAATTTTACTTGCTAATATGTTTATGCGCATCTGGTGTAGCCGACTGTTGGATATATTAAAAGACCTTTGGCCCTCGGGTAAAATATTATGATTGATTCACACAGCACACACGACGTTCACATAAAACAATTTGTTAATATAAAAAATATATATATATACTTATATTAAAATATTTAAGATTTTATTGCTTTATAGCATTAGGGAAAATACTATTCTAATATTGGAATGGCAATCAATGTTAGAAGCATTCTTCGAAATTCTAAATTATGTAGTCGTTTCAGAGAACAATAAAACAAATTAGCTTTAGGAAGGGGCGGAACTTGACCGACGAGTTGACCACAGGACGAAACAAAAGAATGCAAATCGCGGACAAAAGAAACAGACATCGAAATAAATTTGGGGGTCATTGAAGATTCAACAGGTCTCATTAGTGATTCAGCGACGCACATGACTGCGTAAGAGCAATATATAATGAGTGAATCTCAGACAAAACTTAAATGTCTCAAAAACAGGTTCGCATATCTCGATCGTAGTTTGCGGTCGGGCGACTCTCAAAGCGGACCGCTCGTCTTCCTGCCTCGCCGGCCGTGTGCTTAGCGCTCAGTATCCGTGAGATTAAAAACCAATGAAAGAACTCTCCTATCAAATAACAATACAGAAACGCATTAACAAAAGCAGGCGTGACGTATCGTATTGGGTGAACGGGAGCGGAGTCGTATATTGTCGTGGCACGGAACACGATACGCACTAACAATGTCTTAAAATATGATAATATTCATTCAATAGTCACGTACATTGCGTAATGAAGCAAGGAATTTTGCAACAATAAGCCGAAATCCGACATAAATTTGACTACAAATTTTAGTACAGTAAGGCAAAAATAATAAATTTATTCTTAATTTATATGAATGACGAGAACGCGTCATACGTTATATGAATTTAAATATGAATCGGTCGTTCAGGCTGTCGTAAATTAGAAGCATTATTAACTTTTCAATAAAATTTGTGAAAGTTTCTATTTTTTTTTCGATGTTATGGTAAGAAAATATTCAATAGAGTTGTTAAATATTAATTTACGACGAGGGAATATATTTATATCTAAAACATCGCATAATTTTTTTACCGTCGTCTGAACAGGGAAAGTAAATAAATCAAGTGTCATCATTCCTTCTGACAGACTTATCATAACTGTATGGTACAAGTGTTTGTTTTCATTTCTGTTTATAATAATAGCAATACATTGACATAACAGAAAAAGTAGATTTGCAAAATGTAAAAGAATTGAACATACGAAAACTATTAACAAATTCTCCCATACAATAAAAAATCGAACAAATTA